CAAAAGTATGTCCTGTATTTATGTCAATAAATAAAGGAGTATATCATCGATTGTCTTCCTTCTTGTAAATTGCTCGCCCCTGACTTTGGGTTCAATCCTAGGACCCAGAGGTTGGATTCCGGGTGTTCAGGGTAAGTAGTTTGCAGTCCCGTACTGTGTGGTCTGAATGGGTCCCCAGTTTCCTGTGGGGGAGCTGGATTTCCGTTGAGCTGGCGCTGCTCTGCGCTCGGGTCGGGAGGTACAGGTGCGCCTGGCTGTAGTAGGCCCAGCTTCTTGAGAGGTGGCAAGATTGTAGATCCTGTCTAAAAAGGAGTGGGGGGGCTGGGAGGGTGGCTCAGTGGTGGAGCACTTGCTTCGCACGTATGAGGCCCAGGGTTCAATTCCTCAGCACCACATAAGCAGAAAAAAAGCCAGAAGTGGTGCTGTGGCTCAAGGGATAGAGCACTAGCCTTGAGCTGAAGAGCTGAGGGACAGCGCCCAGGCCCAGAGTTCAGGCCCCATAGTGGTCCAAAAACTCAAAAACAAGGGGTTAAATCCGGGCACCAGTGGCTCATGCCTGTCGTCCTAGCTGCTCAGGAGGCTGAGATTTTTGGATCTCAATTCAAAGCCAGACCAGGCAGGAAAGTCCAGGAGACTCAGTTCCAAAGGACTACCAGAAAACCGGAAGTGGAACTGTGGCTCAAAGTGGTAGAGTCCTGCCGATGCTCAGGCTTTTAATACTAGCTGTTCAGCGGGCTGATATCTGAGACCTGAGGTACAGAGCAAGCCTGGTGGGAAAGACGTGAGACACTCCACCTCCAGAAAGCCAGAAGTGGAGCTGAGGCTCAAGTGCAGAGCACTAGGGCTTAGGCAAAAAAGCTCAGGGACAGCACCAAGGCCCTGAGTTCAAACCTCAGTAAGAACACCAAAAGAGCTGGGAAGGTGGCTCAGTGGTAGAGAGCTTGCTTTGCATGCATGAGGCCCTGGGTTCGATTCCCCAGCACCACATAAGCAAAAGAAAAAGTCACTGAAAGAATACCAAAATAGGGCTGGAAATAGAGCTTAGTAGTAGAGCGCTTGCCTAGTATGCATGAAGCCCTGGGTTCAATTCCTCAGTACCACATACACAGAAAAGGCCGGAAGTGGCGCTGTGGCTCAAGTGGTAGAGTGCTAGCCTTGAGCAAAAGAAGCTCAGAGACAGTGCCCAGGCCCTGAGTTCAAGCCCCAGGACTAGCAAGAAAAAACAACTAAAAAATAAATAATGGATGCGGTTAACATGTATATTGTAAACCTGTTAATGATTTTGAATTGTGGCCTTCTGTTAAGTTTGTGAGAAATGATTACACCATTTGGAGTCTATCCTTGTAAATTATACTTGAATTTATAATTTGCGTTAATAGCATCTTGTTAACGTGTTTTTATTTTTCTTTTAGGAGTTAAGTTGTATCTCAAGTCATCCTACTGATGCCCTTGCTTGTGTTAAGACAAAAAGAACCATTACAGGCTCATGCCTGTAGTCCTAGCTACTCAAGAGGCTGAGATCTGAGGATCATCGTTCAAACCCAGCCCAGGCAGGAAAGTCTATGAGACTCTTAGCTCCAATAAACCACCAGAAAACTGGAAGTGGAGCTGTGGCTCAAGTGGTAGAGCGCTCTCCTTGAGCTGAAGAGCTGAGGGACAGTGTCCAAGCCCAGAGTTCAAGCCCCATGACCAGAAAAAATAAAAAATAAAGCAAAGAGCAAGGCTCATGACTGTAATCCTGAGATTACAGCTGAGATCTGAGGATTGTGGTTCAAAGCCAGCCTAGACAGGAAAATCCATGATCCTTTCCACCAGAAAAGTTCAAAGTGGAGCTGTGGCTTAAGTAGTAGAGAGCTAGCTTTGAGCAGAAATACAGAGACAGTGCCCAGGCCCTGAGTTCAAGCCCCAAGATCTCCACCTCCTGCATAGCTGACAGGCATGAACCACCAGCGCCCAGGTTGGAGTTTTATATTTCCTTGGTATTAGATCACATTTGACCTCAGGTAACTGAAATCTTAGGAAGCCATTTCCAGTAAGGAGACAGATGCCCTGTAAACTTAAACTGCCCAACACAAAGATCTACAAATGTAAAAAGTATTCAGGAAGCCAGGCGCTGGTGGCTCACGCCTGTCATCCTAGCTACACAGGAGGCTGAGATCTGAGGATCACAGTTCAAAGCAAGGCCAGCCCAGGCAGGAAAGTCCATGAGACGCTGATCTCCAATGAACCATGATCTCCAATGAACCACCAGAAAACCGGCAGTGGCGCTGTGGCTCAAGGGGTAGAGCTTGCCTTGAGCTGAAGAGCTGAGGGACAGCGCCCAGGCTGAGAGATTTAGTGGTATTAAAGATAACTGCATTCTGTGCTTTTTCCCTGTCAGATTCTGCAGCCTTCTGTATCAGCAAGCAGTCGATGAAGTCCCAGGAGCTGCTGGTGCTTGTGTTACATGAAGAGTTCACGAGCCACAACCTGAAATGGCTGTGTCAGAACAGGTTCAGACCCCACCCTTGGCAAGACCTGCCCAGAGGTGATGCAGGACTTGGTGGCTGGAGTCTCCAGTGCCAAGAGAGAATTCACTCACACCCTGCCCACCGGTCAGCTGGGGTCAGCCATGGGCTGGGGACCCCCTCCCCTCACAGCTTAACACGGTTCAGATTTGGGGTTTTCAACTGCCCTAATACTCAATCCATTAGATGAAATGTTCCCTTGCCTAGTATTTCCTCTTTGTCAGATGTGAAACAGTCAACCAGAATAGAGCCGCACACTGTGTCCAGTCATTGTACCTTTAAGAACAACAGCTTTAATCTTCCCCCCACATCCAGCCGGGCGCCAGTGACTCACGCCTGTAATCCTAGCTATTCAGGAGGCTGAGATCTGTGGGATGTGGTTTCAAGCCAGCCTGGGCAGGAAAACCCCTGAGTCTCCTCTCTCTAGTTAACCAGTAAAATGCCAGAAGGAGAGCAGTGGGGACTCTCGGGCAGAGTGCTAGCCTGGAGCAAAATGCTTGGGGACAGTGCCTAGGCCCTAAATTCCAGCCCCAGTACTGGCCCAAAACAAAACAAACCTCCAGACGTGAAAGTGCTGTGTGTGCTTCCTGGCTGGCAGGCAGCTGGCTGTCGGGTCAGCGGCGCCGGGCCTGGGCCTGCGCCCCTGTGGGCAGGGGGCTCCTGTGTGCGAGGTCTCCCCGTCTCCATGTTTGCCACCCTGGGATCTCAGCCTCCTGAGTAGCTAGGATTGCAGGAGCTCCGGGACCGGGCGCACAGGACGTGGCCCGCGGGGCTGCCACGTCGCCCAGCCCCAGCAGAGGGCGTGCGCGCGCGCGGGGGCCGGGCTTGGCCTTAGGCCCCGGCTTGCACTCCGGGCTCGCACCGGCAGGGGGTGGGCGAGGCCAGGCCAGGCCAGGGGCTGGGGCTGCTCCTGGTCTGAAAAAGAAGCAGAAGCTGGGGCTAAGGGGCGCCGCCTGCAAACGCAGATAGGACCTCTGGGGGCTGGTGGGAGGGGGGCTGCCACCCAATTCCAAAGGTACCTGTCATCTCAAATCAGTCTGACCACAGAAACAGACCCAAAAGAGGCGTTGAAATCCACCAGTAGCCGAGCCCGGTGGCGCACACCTGTAATCCTAGCTAACTCAGGAAACTGAGATGGATCAAAGCCAGCCAGGGCAGGAAAGTTCCTAAGACTCATCAGCAATTAACCGAAGGAAGTAGAGTTGCTATGTCTCATGTGATAAAAGTGCTGATCCTGGATACAAAAGCTCAAGGACAGCACCTAGGCCCTGAGTTCAAGCCCCATGACTGACGAGAGAAAGAAAGAACCAAAGAATGAAAGAAAGAAAAGTTCACCTATTTATCTCCAAAATCCCACAGGCTCCCAAACCAGCAAAACCAGATTTGGTGACTTGAGACCAAGCTGATCATGGGTTATAGTTCTCCTGGGCAGGTGGTTCTTGTTTTGCAATGTGGAGGACTGGACCCTGATCCTGTCTGTGCACATGTTTGGCAGGTGGATCCCCATTGGAGCCAGACCTCCACCCCAATTTATGTGTTCTCTCTCAGATACTGCCCTCCACTCCTGTCTCCCAAGTAGCTGAGAATTGACACAATGAGGCACCATGCAAGACTCCCTCCCAATTTACCAGGCCAGTGGCAATCACCTTTAATCCCAGTGCTCACTGGAGAGGCTGACTCAGACAGATGGAGATTTAGAGGACAGCCAGGTTCACCAGCCAGACTGTGTTTAAAAAGAAAATAAAGGGCTGGGAAGGTGGCTCAGTGGTAGAGCGCTTGCCTTGCATGCATGAGGCCCTGTGTTCGATTCCTTAGCACCACATAAGCAAAAAGAAAAAAGCTGGAAGTGGCGCTGTGGCTCAAGTGGTAGAGCCCTAGCCTTGAGCTGAAGAGCTGAGGGACAGCGCCCAGGCCCAGAGTTCAGGCCCCATGACCGGACCCCCCCCCCAAAAAAAGAAAAGAAAACCTGTCTGTGCTCTTCTTAGAGCACTGTACACAGAGGCTTCATTAATAATTCATGTATAATAATGACTCAACTGATAATAAACCACATCAGAAGGAAAGGGAACTACAGGATGGTGATTCTCCACATGTAAAAGAAGTGGAGAATTTACCTATTTTTATTTTTCAACTATTCGAGTTGATACCGGAGCTTGAACTCAAGACCTTGTGTGCTCACTTGGATTTTTTGTTCGAGGCTGGTACAGCTATGGCTTTTGCCACAGCTCCACTTCCAACTCTGGTGGTTCACTGGAAATAACCGTCTCCCAGACATCCTGCCCAGAGGTGGCTTTAAGCTGTGATCTTCAGATCTCAGCCTCCTGAGTAGCTGGGATTACAGGTGTGAGCCACCGGCACCTAGTGAAAGGCTGTTATGTCTAGAGGTGGATCTGTGTGTGAGCGTGCATATGCGTGTGAGCGCATATTCACACACCCAGTGTGTGTTGTTTCTTCCCTCCCACCCCAGGAAGCCTCTGTCCTAGAGGAGGAAACCGCACAATAACAAGTCATGTGACCAGGGGAGGGGGCTTCCTGTTTCCCAGCCCCTCCCGGGCCAGCCTTAGGCCACCCAGATCTGAGTAGGCAGTGGCCAGCAACATGCCAGGAGCTCGGGCCTCTGACTGAGTGTCCCCGGGGAAACAGAGGTAGAGGGGGCTGAGGGGCAAACCCCACAGCTGGCGGCTCTAAGTCCAGCAGGACCTTGGGGAGGGATGGGCGATTCCTGGAGTCCCCATCCCAATGCCGGCTAGACGAGAAGGGGAGACGAAAAACATGAGAAGATAAACCATGAGCTTTGGTGGCCACACCTGTAATCCCAGCACTTGGGAAGTTGAAGCAGGAGGATCATGGGTTTCCAGCCAGCCTGGGCTGTAGAACAAGGCCTCTGGTTTTTGTTTTGTTGTGTTTTTTAAAGGAAGGAAAACCCAAAAGGCAGAACAAGGGAAGAAGGGGGAAGGGAAAGGTGGGTCAAATGGGATGGGTAATGAGCGGCGTGTCCCGGGAACCATTCAAGCAGCAAGTGGACACCGGTCACCTCCAGAGCTCCCTCCCAGGCCCTGAGCCACAGAGAGGAAGTTGAGGCGCCAGAGGCATGAGCTGAGCCCCCGCTGTGTCTTGCCAGGACAAGAGTTTCTGGACAGGAATGAGCGTCAGAGCCACGCGGCCCCGAAGCCGGCGGGGGAGACCCGCTCCACCGGTGAGTGTCCCCCCACCGCCCTCCCCACCGCCCCGCCCCCCCAGCCCCTGGAGCACAGACCCCCACAGAGCTCAGCCCCGATCCCTTGCAGGGTGAACTCGATCCTGTGGCTGAGAGCTCAGAGGAAGCCGAAGCGGCAGGCAGCAACACCAGGCTCAGCGCAGGCGCAGTACGGGAGGAAGCCAGGCCGCGGCTGCTGGAGCCCAGGGCCGGGGCCAGCGACCAGGGGCTGGGGGACGGGTGAGCCTGGCTAGATGGCGCCCTCTGCCAGCCCGGTGCATCTCAGCCATCCACAATCCTGCCAGTGGCCCTGCCCGGCTCCCCGCGCCCGGCTCCCGCTGCGAAGTGGCTGAAGCTTTTATCTTTTTTTTTTTTTTAGAAAAAATTATGTATTGGTGATACTAAGGTGTGAGCGCAGGGCCTCGGCCTTGCTGAGTGAGTGCTTTATACTTCAGCCAGGCCCGGCCCTGTGTGTGTGTGTGTGTGTGTGCGCGCGCGCGCGTGCGTGTGCTTGAACTCAGGGCCTGGGCGCTGTCCCTGAGCTTCTTTTGCTCAAGGCTTGCACTCTACCACTGGAGCCACAGCGCTACTTTTGGCCTTTTCTGTGTGTGTGGTGCTGAGGGATGGACCCTGGGCCTCATGCTTGCTGGGAGCGCTCTTCCACAGAGCCACCTTCCCAGCCCTGCTGGGTGAAGGTGTGTGCCTGACACCCCCCCCCCCCACACACACCATTTTTTCCTATTTGGAGACAGGCGCTCACCATTGATTTCAGGCTGGCCTTGAACTCATGGTCACATGGGAATTGAGCCTGAAAGTCTCCAGCTCAGCCTTGAGTGCTGGAATACAGGCATGTGTCACCACACTAGGCTTCTGTACAAGGACCAGGTGCTGGTGGCTCACACCTGTCATCCCAGCTGCTCAGGAAGCTGAGGTCAAAGCCAGCCTGGGCAGGAACGTCCTTGAGACTCTTCATCTCCAAGCAACCACCCTAAAAGTCAGAAGTGATGCTGTGGCTCAAGTGGTAGAGTGCAGGCCTTGAGCACCACAGCTCAGAGACTGCCTGGCCCTAGAGTTCAAGTCCTAGGACCAGCACCAAAAAAATAAGAGAATTGTAGCCTTGGCCTCCACCCAGGGTCCTCCACATGGAGTCTGGCTACTGCCACTTCCAGAACTTTCTATGACTCTTCACCAGGCCTCTGTCCAACTCCTCATTTTTCCCCAAGGGACCATGGGGTCCAGCCTCCTCCCCAGCCTCCTAGGGTCCCCCTGGGGCGCCCCCCCCCCATGGCACCCGGCTGCATCCAGCAGCCTTGGTGGCAGGCCTGGCTCAGGCCTTGGTTTTCACAGGGCTGATGGGGACGCAGATGGAGATGCTGGCAGGGTGCTATGCCCTGAGGGACCCCAGGAGCCCCCAGCCCCAGCTCAGCAGCCCCCCGAGGCCGATCCAGCAGATGGGGGGGCCGAGCCCACCGGGACGGGGGCCCCCGATGTGTTTCACACCCTCCAGCAAGCGCTGAGCTCCCTGGAGGCGGCGGTGGCTGCCTGGCGGTGCCGCCCGTGCCCCACGAGCCCCCTGCCAGAGGGTGCGGGCCCCAGCCACGCGGCCAGGGCGCCGGGGTGCAGTGCAGGCCAGCGGGAAGCAGCACGGCTCTCCGAGAGCAACGCCTGGCTGCGGCTGGCCCTGGACACGCGCGAGGCCGAGCTGCTGCGCACACGCACCGCCCTGCACGCCTTCCAGGCCGAGAAGGAGACCCTGCACCAACACGTGAGCCGCCGTGGGGGGGGGGGGATCCCCAGCGGAGGGGGGAGGATCCTAGTGGAGGGGGGTGGGTTTTTGGTGGGTCATGGATCTTGAACTCTGGGCCTGGCGCTGTCCCCCAGCTGCTCAGCTCAGGGCAAGCGCTCTACCACTTGAGCCACAGCACCACTTCTGGTTTTCTTGTGGTTTATTGGAGATCAGAGTCTCATGGACTTTCCTGCCTGGGCTGGCTTTGAACCTCGATCCTCAGATTTCAGCCTCCTGAGTAGCGAGGATTATAGGTACCAGCTAGATGAATCATTTTGTTTGTTGGTGTATTCATTCAATGAACTTCCAAGTGTGGTGGTTAATGTCTGTAATCCCAGCACTTGGGAGGCTGAGGTAGGAGGATGGCCAGTTTGAGGTCAGCCTGGACTGTTTAGCAAGAGCCTGCCTCAAAAAGCAAAAACAAAAACAAAACAAAACAAAAAACAGCCTGGCACCGGCGAGTCACACGTGCAATCCTAGCTACTCAGGAGGCTGAGATCGGAGGGTCATGGTTCAAAGCCAGCCCAGGCAGAAAAGTCCATGAGACTCTTATCTCCAATAAGCCACCAGAAAACCAGAAGTGGCTCTGTGGCTCAAGTGGTAGAGCACCAGCCTTGAGCTGAAGAGCTGAGGGACAGCGCCCGGACCCTAAGTTCAAGCCCCACGACCAAACAACAACATAAGAGCAAAGAAAGACACAGAGCTCCTAGCCTTCCAGCTGGGGCTCTAGCTGCAAATGTAGGAGTCTGATGGAGGGGTGGGATGGGGTGTGTGGAGCCCCAGCCTGAAAACTCTCACATGCCTTCCAGGTCCAGGAGCTGCAGGAGACCCTGAGGAGGGTGCGGTCCTCCCCGCCCGGGTCTCCCAGACTTGCCGGAGGCCCAGGCAGTGACTCCAGCAGCTCGGGGGCCGACACGGAGCCCTGGGGTGCTCGGGTAAGTGTGACCAGCTGGGACCCCAATCCCGGCGGCCTTAGATTCTGAGCGATAACTTCCGGGCACCAGTGGCTCACGCCTGTCATCCCAGCTACTCAGGTGGCTGAGTTCTGAGGTTCGTAGTTCAAAGCCATCCTGGGCAGAAAAGTCCCCATGAGACACTTATCTGCAATGAACCGCTCAAAAAGCAGAAGTAGAGCTGTGGCTCAAGTGGTAGAGCACCAGCCTTGAGCAAAAGAGCTCAGGGACAGTGCCCCGGCCTGAGTTCAAACCCCACGACTAACAAAAATAAAACAACTTGTGAGTCCATATTGTGGGTGACAATTTTGAGTAAATCAAGTCACCCCTTCCTGGCAGGACTCCTCCTCGGTTTCCCCCCTGCTCCGGCTGCGTGATTCCAGCTCCCAGATCCTCGGGCCTGTGTCCATGCCGGTCTGTGGGCCCGCGGAGAAGCTTCTGGAAGGCCGGGTGGAGCAGCTGCATGGGTGAGAGCCTGGTGTGTGCCGGCCTGGCGGCGGCCATGACTAACAAACCTCCCGCCCCTCCCTCCACGCCTCTCGTCTCTCTCTGGCCAGGAGCGTGGAGAAGCTGAAGTGCTTCAACCGGCTGCTGCTGGCAGTGCTGCGGGGCTGCAAGGGCCGCTGCGAGGAGCTCAGCCTGCATGTGGGGCGGCGCGCGGCGGAGGCCACGGCGCTGGGCCTGGCGCTGCACTACAGGTCCCCTGCTGCACCTGTGACCTCGGTGCTGGGGGAGCGGGGAGAACAAGGGGGCTCCCCCCCGCCCCGCTTCTAGCAAGATGGGGCTGGCTTCCCGATGCTCTCCGTGTCCCGCAGTGAGAGCTGCGAGGCAGCCTACGGGGCCCTGCTGGCACTGCGAGAGGCCGACCCTGCCTGGGGGACCCCGAGACCCAAAGCTGACCTGCAGCGGGCTGTGGAGGAGGCACGCAGGCTGCTGGCGGCCGTGGACGGAGGGACACCCCAGCACAGGTAACCCCGGGACACCCAAGAAGTGTAGTGAGCCAGGCGCCCGGTCACGCCTGGCATCCCAGCTACTCAGGAGGCTGAGATCTGAGGATCGAGGTTCAAAGCCAGCCCGGGCAGCCAAGTCCCTGAGACTCTGATCTCCAATGAACCACCAAAAAGCTGGAGGTGGAGCTGTAGCTTAAGGGGTAGAGCGCCAACCTTGAGGGGAAAAGGTCAGGGGTAGTGCCCAGGCTGAGTTAAGCCCCAGTACACACACACACACACATACACACACACGCCAACCTCACCAAGCCAGTTCTCAGCACCACCTGGCCTTCGTTCATGCCAACACATGCCAGCCAGCCCCAACGTCAGCCTTGTTGAGTAACCACAGGTCAACTCCAGTTAGACTTGGTGCCAAAGGACCGCGTGGGGCTCAGAGCCGCCCTGCTGAGCCAGGGTGATGCCAAACCCAGCACGTGGCCAGCCCTGAATGCCCATGCCATTGCCACAACTTGTCTTCTGGGTTACTGTAGGTCTTTTTTTTTTTCTTAGTACCAGTCCAGGGTCTTGAACTCAGGGCCTAGGCACTGTCCCTTAGCTCGTTTTCACTCAGCGCTGATGCTCTTCCCCCATTTGAGCCCCAGCTCTATTATTTTCAACTTTTTGTTTGTTTTTTTGGGTCTGGTCATGGGGCCTGAACTCTGGGCCTGGGCGCTGTCCCTCAGCTCTTCAGCTCAAGGCTAGTGCTCTACCACTTGAGCCACAGTGCCACTTCCAGCTTTTTTTTTTGCTTATGTGGTGCTGAGGAATCGAACCCAGGGCCTCAGGCATGCAAGGCAAGCACTCTACCACTGAGCCACCTTCCCAGCCCTGGATTTTCAACTTTTTGATGATAAGAGTCTCATGGACTTCCCTGGCTGGTTTTGAACCATGATCCTCCTATCTCAGCCTTCTGAGTAGCTGGGATGACAGGCGTGTGCACCAGCGCTTGGCCGGCCTGATGTGTACTGGTCCCCCCTGGGGCTGGCACGCTGGTTGGCTATGCTCACTGGGGGGGGGGGGTCACAGCCCGGTGGGGACAAGGGTCCCCAGCGCTATGCGGGGCATCTCCTGCCTCCCGCAGCCCCGAGGGCAGCAGTGCGGATAAGCCGCAGGAAGTTGCCACCCAGCTCCAAGCCCATATCCAGCGGCTTCAGGAGCGCCAGGCCCTCCTGAAGATCCCCCCTGAGCCCAGCCCCTCCGCGGCAGCGGGGCTCACTGCGCCCCACGGCGAAGTCATGGTGCAGGCCATTCTGGAAACCCAGCCCGGCCCGGCTCTGCCCCAGCTGGAGAAGACCCAGATCCAACGGGGCTTGATGGCCACGCGGGTAGGAACAGGCGAATGGTGCCGGTCCTTCTTAGAGACAGAATGTGAGAAATGTGTCTAGTGGCCCAGGAGCAGGAAGGAATTCTGCTCTGCTGAGGGGTGGGGAGGGGTTCTTGGAGTTGTGAGGGATGAATAGGAGTTTGTTGTCTGGGGTCCAATTTCTTAATCGACTATGAATCTGCCTTTCCCTGATGCCCTTCCCATTGGAAGAGATGAGGGCGGGAGTGTGAATGGGGTTTGTAGCATGGCTTGAACGGTTCGAGGGGCCGCTCAGTGGCAGGGGCCAGCCTGTGCCTGAGACCCTGTGTTCAGTCTTTTTTTTTATGTCAGTTGTGGGGCTTGAACTCTGGGCCTGGGCGCTGTCCCTCAGCTCTTCAACAAGGTGAGCGCTCTACCACTTGAGCCACAGCGCCACTTCCGGTTTTCTGATGGTTCATTGGATCAGAGTCTCTTGGACTTTGCTTCCCAGGCTGACTTTGAACCATGATCCTCAGCTCTCAGCCTCCTGAGAAGCTAGGATGACAGGCGTGAGCCACAGTGCCGGGTTGTGTTCATTGTTTTAACACTGCAATCAATCAATCAATCAATAGATAGACAAGAAGATGAAAAGAGAAAAGAAAAAAGGCGGAAAAAAAAGCAGAGGTGCTGGGTCAGGCCTGGTCATCGCAGTGTCTGGGAGGCAGAGGCAGGAGGAGCCTACGCTCCCGGCTGGCCCGAGGGACGCGCCCAGCCTGGATCAAGCCCCAGGACCACCCCCCCCAAAAAAAAGGAAAAGTCTGAGGTTCTGAGATCTGAGACGTTTTAGCTTCCCTAGACCTTGTCTAAGACAATGCTCTGGGGCTGTTGCTCTAGGGGGGAGGTCACAGTGAAGGTCAGCGTTCTTGTGTGGCCCCAGTGGGACCTTCTGGGGCCTCAGTTTTCCCCCTTATCCCCACAGGAGACCCTGGCTGATCTGATGCTGCAGCTTCAGCTGGTGCGCAGGGAGAAGCGGGGCCTGGAGCTGCGGGAGGCCGCGCTGCGGGCCCAGGGCCCCGCCCACGTGCTGCTGCTGGAGCAGCTGCAGTGGGAGCGCGCACAGCTCGCACCCGCGCCCCAGCGCAGCGGCCGCGGCGGAGGCAGCAGCGGGGAAGGGAGCAGCGAGGAGGACGAGGCGTGGCCACAGGTGAGCAGCCTGCGCCCCGGCGCCCCGCCCACCCCAGCCCCGCCCACAGCACCTGCTTCACCAGGCGCCCCTCCTGGCGGTGGCTCCGCCCACACCACGCCCGTCCCACTTGACTCCGCCTACCGGAGGCCTGTCCCTCAAGGCACCACGCCCGCGAGAAAAGCCCCGCCCACCAAGCGCCCCGCCCCCGGATGCCCCGCCCCCCAGACCCCGCCATACAGCGCCTGGTTCACCACATTCCTCCCGTCTGTGGCCCCGCCCACTACACCCCCCATCCGACGCCGCCCGCGGAAGCCCCGCCCGCGGAAGCCCCGCCCGCGGAAGCCCCGCCCTCCCGGTCCCAGGCTCCCGGTAGCCTCGGCGGCCAGCTGAAGGGTGAAGGTCAAGTCTGTTTCCTGTCCTTGGGGTTCCAGCGCCTTCCACCTTTCCTTCTCCTCCCCTTCCTGGCGCGTCCGTAGTTTGTCGCTGTCGCCCCGAGCCAGGCTGGCCTCCCCGGCATGGCTTCCTGCGTGAGCGTCCACGGGGCTGCCTCTCCGGCCTCGCCGACGCGGCCCTCCACCAGCTCCTCCGGGTCTCTGTCCACGCAGTGTCCAGCCCGAACGCCGGTCACCTCCCTGGCCACGTCCCCTGCCCGAATGCACCTCCTCCTGGAAGCCCCCTGGCCGTCCGCGGCCGGAACTGACCCCTCGGCCGCTTCAGGCTCTTCTCAGACTGAGGGCAGGGGCTCCATCCCGCACCCTGCTGTCCGGCTGGGGCCTCTCGCCTCCCTCGCTCTGTCCCCGCAGGGTCTCCCTGCCCTCCCGGGGGACGAGGAAGGCCGGGACCCAGAGAAGTTGTCCCAGGAACTGGCTGCGTCCCTCGCTCGGTTTGTATCTGAGGCCCAGCAGGGGAGGGTGAGGTGGGTGGGGTGGGGTGTGGGGGGCATGCCAGAGGCCAGGGTGGGCAGGTGGGCGGAGGACAGGAAGGGACTAGCCGTGCTGGAAGCCTCCCCACCCCACCCCAGGTCCCTGGGCCTGCGGCAGCAGCTGCAGTCCCTGCGGGAGCGCCTGGAGCAGATGGCCCGCAGGGGCCGAGCCAGCCGCGCTCAGAGTGCTGAGCTGCACCGAGACCTGTGCCGAGCTCACGGGTAAGGGCCCGGAGGCCTTGGCCCCGGGGTTGCTCCCTCAGCTCTCTGGGGCTCAAGGGCTGGGAGCAGTAGCTCCCCCTGCCTGGGAGGTGGGGATGGGGAGGATGCTGCTTATCCTGACCAGCAAATAGCACCAGTCTGGTAGTGCATGCCTGCAACTCCAGCTGGGGTGGGGCAGCAGCCAGTCAGAGGCCAGCCTTTGGGGGAACAAACAGAAAACTTCTAGAAAAATAAAAGCAAGCAAAAAATAAGGGAGGGGTGCTAGGGCATGACTCAAGTAGTGAAACAGCGGCCTGGCAAGCAGATCCAAACCCTAGTACGTGCTCCCCTGCCCACCCCCTCCCCCCAAAAGGCACCAAGCCCCGGGTACCACTCAGCCGTGATGCAAGTGTCCCAGCAGGGCCCGGTCCCCAATACCTTGTCGTCTGGGAAGAGGGGTCTGTGCCCCTTCTCTGGGGGGCAGAGTCTAGCTCAGCCACTCACCCCACAGCGCCCTGGTCCTGGCCTTCCGCGGGGCCCACCGGAAGCAGGAAGAGCAACGCCGGAAGCTGGAGCAGCAGCTGGCCCTGCTGGAGGCCCGGCAGGCAGAAGAGCTGGCCAGGCTGGAGGCCACGGCCCGGGGCCTGGCGGGGCCCCGGCCTCCCCGCCCCCCGCCCCCCGCGGGGGAGACCCTTCTGTAGCCGCCCCCCAGGCCAGGCTGGCTCCCACCATAAACTGCCCGCCACTGAGCCTTTGTTCGTGTGCAGTGATTTGGTGTGCGCAGTGACAAACCCCGTGGGGAATAAACTTGACCTCCAGCGAGGTCAGCGCAGCGCAGCTGGGCCAAGGGGGCGGGGACCCCCGCTTGGGCCTGGGGGAGGGGGCGGGGACCCCCGCTTGGGCCTGGGGGAGGGGGCGGGGACCCCCGCTTGGGCCTGGGGGAGGGGGCGGGGACGCCCCATCTGGGGCTCCTGGGAAGTCAGGGAGGCTGAAGTAGCCCGGTCAGGTCTGGGGAGACATGGTGGGGGGGGTGCCACGGGCCCTGCCCAGAGAGGCTGCCCCGGCCGGCTCACAGACAGGGTACCCCAGAACCACAAGGGGGGCTGAGCCCTGGGTGGGGGTGGGGGGGGCTCGGGGACTTGGGGGTTTGGCCTTTCTTTCTCCGTTTTTTGTCTTTGCTGTCCTGGTCCTGGGGCTTGGCCTGCGCTGTCTCCCGTGGTCTGGCTTTCCACTCAAGGCTGGAGCTCTCTCGGGTGGAGCGGCTGCGTCTCAGACACCTTCCTGCCCCTCAGGCCTCGGCCTCCCGAGCGGCTGGGGTGGCAGGCCTGAGCCTCACACGCAGGAGGCTAGCACTCCGGGGGGTGAGGCCCCAGCCTCAGCTGATGCGTGAGACAGGCCCAGCCGGCCTGAGAAGTTCAGGCTCCTCCCTGCGGGTTCGGGCTGGAGGCGATCAGCTGCGATTGGCACAGGCCACACCCAGCCGCACCCCTGAGCAGGGCATCCAGAAGGTTCTGGGCCCCAGCACCCTGCGCCCAGCCCCAGAGGGCTCCCCGCCCCCTCGAACCCCGGCTTTACCGGGGAGCTTCTCCGAGGGCGCCTTGGCTTTGAAGACAGAGGGAAGCTGAGGCAGGCACCGTGGGGGAGCCGAGGAGCCCCGCGGGAGCTCGGCCCAGTCCCACGGGGCTGCCTGGGGGCGGGGCCAGCGGACCCCGGGGTCACGGGGGCGGGCGGGCAGGATCCCAGGCCGCGGGCCGTTCCCACGGGCGGCCCCGCGGCAGATGGGCCCCGGCCCCTTTGTCCCGGGTCTGCGGCGGCCGCAAGGTCAAATGTCACCGCGGGGCCGCGGGCAGGGGTCAGGGGGGCGGGGCGAGGGGTCGCGGGGCCCCGGCAGGGCCCGCCCCCGGCCGCAGCCCGGCCCTCCCGCCGCCCACGCCGGCCCCGGCCGCGACCCTGACCCTGACCCGCTCCCTCCCGGGGTGGCGTCACCGCCCGGGCCTGGTCACCGCGGCCACCGCGCCCGGGCCTGCGGGCTGGGGTGAAAGGTCGCCCGGGACAGCCTGCCCCGCCCGGGTAAACGTTAACCCGCCTCCGGGGAGGGCCGGGGGAGGGGCGCACCGGCGGCCGAGCCCGCCGGGGGGGCGGGCGGGGGCTCGGGGAGGGGCCCCGCCGGACCGGGCGGCCTTCTGCAAGAGCGAGCAGGCAGTCCGCCGTGCCGCGTGCGGGAGGCGGCCCGGGGGCGCGCGCGGTCCGGCGTGCACGCGCGTGTGCGTGCGCACGTGTCCGGGAGCGCCTGCGTGTCGCCCGCGGCGCAGGGGCGTGACCCCGGGGCACGCGTCCCCCCGTTCCTGCTTCCGCCGGGAACGCGTGGGGAGGCGGATCGCGGGGCGCCGGGGCCCGAGGCCTGGCGGGAGGTCGCGGGGGCCGGGCCGCGGGGGCCGCGGGGCGGGGCCGGGCGGGGCGGGGGCCGGGCCGCGGCCCGAGCTCCGCCCCCGCCTCTCCCGCCGGCCCGGGCGCCCGGCGCCGCGCGCGGCCACCCATGCCCTTATAAGGGCGGCCGTCGCCGGGGCAACGAGCGCCCGCCCCCGGCCCCGCGCGCCCCCGCCCCGCCCCCGCCCCGCCCGCCCGCCCGCCCGCCGCGCGGATGGAACGCGGTGTCAAACCGGCCGCAGCGCGAGGCCGGCGCGCGGGGTCGGCGGCGGCGGCGGCGGGAGAGCGAGGCTCCGGCGCAGGCCCAGGCCGGGCGGGCGCGGCCGCGACGCGGGCGGCGGCTCGGGAGGCGCGGGGCCGCGGCCTGCAGGCCCCGGCGCGGCCGCCGGTGCGGGGGGGACGCCGGGGGGCGCGGGCCCCGGGCCCCGGCGCGCGTGCGCGCCGCCCCTCCCCCTCGCCGCGGGCCACCGCGCAACTTGCGGCCAAACTTTGCCCCCGCCCGGCCCCCAGCGCCCGGATGGCGCCCCGCTGACCGGCCGCGGCCCCGGGGCCGAGCCGGCGCCCGGCCAGCGGGCGCCCCCACCCCCCGCGCGCAGCCCGGGCCGGGCCATGGCCCAGGCCTGCGGGGCGCGGCACCTCGGGGCCCCCGGCCCCCGCCTCTAGCGCCCCCCGCCCCGCGCACGCGTGGGAAAGTTGGCCGGGAACCGGCCCGACCAGTTCCGCCCGGCTCCGCGGACCGGCCGCAGGAAGTTGCTGCAAAACTTTGTTTTCGGGGGGGGGGGGTGCGGCGGGCGCCCCCCGAGCCGCGCCCGGCCCGGATGCGCGCGGGCTGAGTGCGCCCCGGGCCGCGAGGGGGGGTTCCGGTGAGGCCGGCGCGGGGAGGGGGCGCCCCGGCGCCGCGCCCCCGGGGCTATGGCCATGGTGACCGGCGGCTGGGGCGGCCCCGGCGGCGGCGGCGGCGCCAACGGCGTGGACAAGGCGGGCGGCTACCCGCGCGCGGCGGCCGAGGACGACTCGGCCTCGCCGCCCGGGGCGGCCAGCGACGCGGAGCCCGGCGACGAGGAGCGGCCGGGGCTGCAGGTGGACTGCGTGGTGTGCGGGGACAAGTCGAGCGGGAAGCACTACGGCGTCTTCACCTGCGAGGGCTGCAAGAGCTTCTTCAAGCGCAGCATCCGCCGCAACCTCAGCTACACCTGCCGGTGAGTGCGGCCCGGCCCGCCGCCCGCGCGGTCACCTTGGGCCGCCGCTGACCTTCCCGCGCCCCGCGCCCGGTCCCCCGCGGCCTCCGGCCCGCCCCGGCCCTCGCTCCGCCCCTCGCCGCCCCCCTGCCCGGGGGCCGAGGGGTCCTCGCGGGCCCGCGGGGTCCCCGCCCAGCCCCGGACGCCCCTTCCTCGCCGCGCGCCCGGGGGACCCGAGCGTGGAACTTGGACCCGGCGCCCGCCGCGTCCCGGGCTATTGTCTGCGGCCGCGCGGATCGATACGGCGCGGCCTCGGGGTCAAATACCAGCTCCGGGCGGCGGCCGGGCGGGGCGGGCCGCGCTCCTGCGCCCGGGGCCCTGCGCGGGCCGCGGCCCGGCCGGGGGCGGCGGCGGGGGGTCACCGCCCCGCTCGGGTCACCGGAAGCCGCCCCTGGAGCGCCGGCGCGGCCGCCGGAATTGACCGCACCCCCGCGCCGGCCCCGCAGGCCCGCCGGGCCCTGGAAAGTTTGGGGTCGCGCCGAGGTGTTCGGAGGAGCGAGCCCGCGAGGGGCGGCGGGGACGCGGGGGGCGGCGCGGCCTCGGCCGGCAGGGCCTCTGGAGGGCGGCGGGCGCCGCGCCCGGCCCCGGGATGCCCAGGCCGCCTTTGTCCTCCCGGCCGCGGCCGGTCCCGGGCCAGCGCCGCGGACGGCTCCGTTTCCCAGCGTCCCGGAACCGGCCCCGGGCTGGGCGCCCCGGGGCTGGGGCTCCGGCTTCCCGGGCGAGCTGGGTCCGGGCCCCGCGCCTGCGGCCTGGGCCGGGCCCCGCGGCGGCCACGTGTGGCGGGCCGCCCGGCCGCCGCCTCCCGCAACTGGGGCGCCGGCGCTGGCCTCGTTCCGGCTCGCGGGCCGGGCCTTTGGGGCGGGGCGCCCCGGGCCGGGGTCGGGGCGCAGCAGGAAGGGCGCCGCTCGGGTCCGAAGGAGAAGCGGGGCAGACGCGGTCAGCGGGCAGACGCGGCCCGGGCTGACCCGGAAGCTGCGCGCGGCGCTGGGAAGCCCGGCCGGAGCCCCGGGAGCCGGGCCTCGAGGCCGCCTGGCGCCATGGAGGCCAGAGCTCCGGGCAGCGCCGCGGGCGACAGTCGTCCTAGCTGAGGTGACAGGCGCCCCCATTTCAGAGCCGGGGAGGTTGAGGCAGAGGCTGGGGGTGCGGGCGCCGGGGGGTGCCCGAAGCCGGCCGCCCCAGCCCTGGCCGGTTCCACGCCGCTGCCCAGGCCCTCCCCTCGCTGCTCCGGGCTTTGTTCCTGGCCTTGGGGCCCCATCCTGGCCGGAACCCGGCCCCGTGCCCGGACTCCCGGCTGGGCGGCCTGTGGGGGTCGCCAGGCCCAGTGCGTCCTGTAGAAGGCCTGTGGGGGGCACTCCAGCCTCCCGGCACCCTGCGCCACCGGGGCAGGATGCGCACACGGGCCGGGGGCATCGGAACACAGGGTCAGGTCTTCAGCCTGGGGCTGGCCGGGGAGGAGGCCAGGAGCTCCCTCCATTTCCTCATTCCTCCCTTCCTTCTTAGCGTCCCTGCCCTGACTCCTAGACAAGCGGTACTCCCCCTCCCCCAACTCCTGCTCATCCTGCAAAACCCAGTTCCACTGTGTGCTCACAAACTTTGTCCCATGGACTCATGCATCCGGCAGGGCCCACTCCCGTCGTCTTCCTCTGCACACCTGTCCCAGCCAAGGAGCTTGGGGGCAGAGGGGGGGAGCATGGACTCAGCCCTGGTCTCTGCCCTCCCCCCCAGGTCCAGCCAGGGAGTGGAGGGGGAGGAGTGGGGGGGAGCGAAGGTTCACAAAGCCCTGGTCTCTGTCCCTATCCAGGTCCAACCGGGACTGCCAGATCGACCAGCACCACCGGAACCAGTGCCAGTACTGCCGCCTTAAGAAGTGCTTCCGGGTGGGCATGCGGAAGGAGGGTGAGTTGGGGCGGGGCCTGGCGCCGCTGACCTCCCTACCCCACCCGCAGATCTAGCCCTGGGCAGCAGGGATCTGTTAGGTTCTGTGGGGGCCTCCTGGCTTGTGCCCAGCCCCCCGTCACCGGCCGGCAGGGATGTGTTTTCTCACCTCATGTGCTGGCCCTCCACCCTTCACCCCTGCTTTCCGTGTTTGCCCAGGGCAGGAACTCAGGCAGAGTAAGGCAAGAGGTGGCGCGTGCTTTCTCCTGATTGCGGGCTGCCGGAGCTCCAGCCTCCGGCCCTGCCCAGGGGCCTGAGGGGACCCCGCATGTCGGGGGCCTGGGCTGGGATCCTGCCATCGCTCCCTGACTTCCTGCGGAGCCCAGAGCTATCACAGGCCTTTGGAGGCATGGGGCGGGTCCACCCCATGGACCCGCCCCGGCCCCTGTCCTGAGGTGTCCTGTGCCAGTCCGGCCTGTCTTCCCAGTGTCCAACCCCAGTCTCTTATGCCTTAAAGATGGCTTCTTCTCAAGAAGCCTGTATGCAAGAAGCTGCAAAAGGCTTCTCTTAAACAGCCAGGCAGGGTGGTACGTGCCTGTAATCCCAGGGCTGGAGGCTGAGGCAGGAGGACCGCAGATTCAAGGCCGTGCGCTACCAGCAAGCCTCAGACAAGACCCGCTCATGGCATCTCTCCATCCCTTTACACTTGAGGGCAACTGTCTCGTCCCGGGCCCCCCTCCCCCCTTGGGTTGAAGGCCCCAGCAGACCTCACATCAGGGCTTAGGCTCCAGGCTCGGAGTCCCGACTCAGGGCCTCTGCCAGGCTGCTCCCTGCCCGTCTTCAGATCTCAGCACGGCCCCCCGCTCTCTGGGTTTGCTCAAACGTTTGCTTCTCTTATTTATTTATTTATTTTGGTCTGTCCTGGGGCTTGAACTCTGGGCCTGGGCGCTGTCCCTGAGCTTTTCAGCTCAAGGCGAGCGCTCTACAGCACCACTTCCGGTTTTCTGGTGGTTTATTGTAAATAAGAGTCTCAGGGACTTTCCTTCCCCAGGCTGGCTTTGAACCTCGATCCTCAGATCTCAGCCTCCTGAGTAGCTAGGATGACCGGCGGGAGCCACCGGTGCCCGGCTGCTTCTCCCCTTTATTCACACCACACCCCTTGCCCCATCATTCACTCCAGGCAGTGCAGGCCCCCTGGGCCGGGTGTTCTTGTCCTTGCTTTGTCTGTGTCCTGGCCCTGGGCCTGGCCCTTGAACTCGGGGCCTGGGCGCACGCCGCCCCTTACCACTCAGAGCTGGCTCTCTACTACTCGAGCCGCAGCTCCACTTTGGGCTTTGTGGTGGTTTGAGTTGGCGATGGGACTTTGCTGCCTGGGCTGAGTTTGAGCCTCAGTCCTCAGAGGTCAGCCTCCTGAGTAGCTGGGATGGCAGGAGTGAGCCACCGCTGCAGCCTGCAGCTCTGATGAGGCACCTCTTTAACCCTTTGTGTAGAATACACAGATTGAGGGAGCTTTTAACAAGCAGACTCGATCCTCCGCTGCTTACACACCTCCTACAACTCCTTACTCCTCCACCCCCGCTTTGCCCCAAACCCGTGTGCCCAGTTTCAGCTGCTTTTTTATGGGTGGGGAGACTGAGGCACAGAGCTCATGAGCAGGGCTGTGCACCGGTGGGAGAGCCAGGGGAGGGGCTCTGAGCTCCGGGGTTGGTCTGAGTGAGGCGGGGTTGGGGGGCTGGCGTTGGCCCGCCCCGCCCCGCTGACGCCCCCCCCTCTCCCGCAGCCGTGCAGCGCGGCCGCATCCCGCACTCGCTGCCCGGCGCGGCGGCGGCGGCGGGCGCGGCGGCCGGCAGCCCCCCGGGCGCGGCGCTGGGCGCGGGCGCGGCCGAGCTCTTCCCCGGGCAGCCGGTGTCGGAGCTGATCGCGCAGCTGCTGCGCGCCGAGCCGTACCCCGCGGCGGCCGGGCGCTTCGGCGCGGGCGGCGGCGCCGTGCTGGGCATCGACAACGTGTGCGAGCTGGCGGCGCGGCTGCTCTTCAGCACCGTGGAGTGGGCGCGCCACGCGCCCTTCTTCCCCGAGCTGCCCGTGGCCGACCAGGTGGCGCTGCTGCGCCTCAGCTGGAGCGAGCTCTTCGTGCTGAACGCGGCGCAGGCCGCGCTGCCGCTGCACACGGCGCCGCTGCTGGCCGCCGCGGGGCTGCACGCCGCGCCCATGGCCGCCGAGCGCGCCGTGGCCTTCATGGACCAGGTGCGCGCCTTCCAGGAGCAGGTGGACAAGCTGGGCCGCCTGCAGGTGGACTCGGCCGAGTACGGCTGCCTCAAGGCCATCGCGCTCTTCACGCCCGGTGAGCGGGGGGCGGGCGGGGGGAGGGAGCCCCGCCCCGCCCCCGGCCGGCCCTTCCCCGGGCTCCCTTCGCCCCGCCCCGGATGAGGCCTCCCCGTCCTTTCCGGGGTCGCCGGGCCTGCGGCGCTACCGTATTCCCTCGACCCGCGGCGCTCCGCGTTCCGTGCTGGGCCGGAGTCGCTCGCTCCCCGCGCCCGTGCCTCGGGTGCTCAGCCCCTCCCGAGCCCGCCCTTGGCGCGCACGGCCCCGCCCCTTCCCCGGTTCACGCAGCCCCTCGTGTGCTGGCCCCGCCCCCGGCCGCAGCCCCGCCCCCGGCGTGTCAGCGCCCCGCCCCTGACCGCAGCCCCGCCCCGTGTGTCAGCGCCCCGCCCCCTGACCGCAGCCCCGCCCCCGCAGACGCCTGCGGCCTGTCGGACCCCGCGCACGTGGAGAGCCTGCAGGAGAAGGCGCAGGTGGCGCTGACCGAGTACGTGCGCGCCCAGTACCCGTCGCAGCCGCAGCGCTTCGGGCGGCTGCTGCTGCGCCTGCCGGCCCTGCGCGCCGTGCCCGCCGCGCTCATCTCGCAGCTCTTCTTCATGCGCCTGGTGGGCAAGACGCCCATCGAGACGCTCATCCGGGACATGCTGCTGTCGGGCAGCACCTTCAGCTGGCCCTACGGCGCGGGCTCGGCGCAGTGACGCGCCGCCCGGACTCGTTTTCTAAGGACTGTGAAGTGTTTGTCTTTTCTGTTTTCTAAATGATCTCCAAACCAAAAAGCCGGGCGTGGCCCCGGCGCCCGGACCCGGGACCCCGGGTCGGATCAAGCCAATAATAAAGCGTTTCCTACCCGCGCCGCCCGCTGGGTCGCTCCTCAGAAGCGGGGGTTTCCCGTTCGGCGCGGGCGCGGGGCCGACGGCGCCGCCCGAGGCCGTGCCTTTCCGTTTGGAGGTACCGGAGTTTGAACCCGGGCCTGGAGCTTGCCAGGCAAGGACTCGACCCCCGACCCCGACCCCGCGCTTCGGGATGGGCTGGGCGGCCCGCGGCGGGCTCCACCCCTGGAGCCGCCTCCGGGCTCCGGGCGGGTCACGGAGGTCGGTCTCGGGGACGGTCCTGAACCGCGACCCTCAGATCTCAGCCTCCTGCGCAGCCCCGGGCCTGGGGCCTCGAGCCTGTCGCCCTCCGCCCCCCACCACCCCGGGCCTGGGAAAGAACTGAGCGCAGCGGGACGCGAGCCCAGGGGGCTCCATGTTTATTCCCTTGGGGTGAATGAACCGGAGTCCGCGGGGTGGGCGGAGACCGGGGGTCGGGGTGGGGGCACCGGACGCGGGCGACCCCAGGCCGCCGGCGGTCAGAAGTACACGGAGGCCTCGCTGTCCTGGTCGTCGAATTTCTGGATCTGGGCCTTGAGGTGCCTCAGTTTCCCCTTCAGGTAGCGACAGCGAGCCTGCTTATCCAGGAAGCCAGGGTCCTGCGGGGCGAGACCGGGAGGTGCTTGCAGCGGTGCCTGCGCCGCGCCGGGGCCCAGCCCACCACGGCGGCCTGACTCACCGTCCGCTTCTTCTCGATCTCTCTCCAGACTCGGGCCGCCGCCTGGGCCTCCTCCTGCAAGACGGGCGGAGTGGCAGCGAGGGGAGGGAGGGCGGCCGGGGCGAGGCCGGGCGCGGGCGCGGGCGCGGGCGCGGGCGCGGACCTGGCTGCGGGCGGGCGGCAGCGCCCCGAGCAGCGCCTCCAGCCGCGCCAGCCGCGCGCGCGCCGCCTCCACGTCTCTGCGCAGCTCCAGGAACTCGGCGCGCTGGTCCCGGAAGACGGCGGCGTAGCGGCGGCGGCCGCGCTCGCTGCGCAGCGCGGGGTACCTGCTGCGGGCGGGAGGGGCGCGGGAGTGGCCGGAGCCGCGGGACCCCCGACCCCCGGACCCAGCGTCGGGGCTCCGGCCCACGGCGCGCGCGCGCGGACACTCACAGCTCGTAGTCGGGCGCGGCGGCGGCGGCGCGGGGCTGACGCCCCCCGGGCCCGGCCCCCGCCCGCCGCCCGGCGCCGGGGAGGGCGCGCGAGGGCAGCTCGTCCGCAAACGCGATCTTCCTGGGCCTCGCGGGCTGGCCTCGCGGCGGCGCTGTCTGCACACGCGGCGGGAGTCAGGGCACGGGGGCCCCGCCGGGGCCCCGCCCGTGGGCTCCGGGGGCCGAACTCACCGGGGGCCCTGGGCCCGGCGGCCGGGGCCGGGGGTGCTCCCGGGTGGGCATCGGCCTCGCGGGGGCGCCGCTCTGGGGTCCCCGGGCTGGCCGGCGGGGGGCGTCGGGGCCCGCGCGCGGCGGGCGCGGTCTGCGCGCGGCCTGCGGACGGCGGGGGCGCGGTGGGCGGGAGCCCCGCCCCCTCCCCTCACCGAGGCGCTTGCCCGCCCCGCCTCCGTCCCGTTACGTAACCCGGAAGAGCGCCAAGCGAGCTATGACATCATCGCGCAACTCGGGGCGGGGCCGAGCCCCTCCCCCCCCCCCCCCCCCCCCCCCGCAAGCTGTCAGAGCTGCCGCCTCCCCGACGCGAGGGGCCGAGGGTCAGGCCTGGAAGGGCGCCGCCCCGCGCCGCCGGAGCACCGCGTCCCCGCGTCGCGCCACCTGTCCCAGCGTCCGGCGGTCCCAGCCTGGGTCGGCTGCGGGAACGTGGCCTGAGTCCGGGGGTGGCTTCACTTCCGGCGGGACCCGACGGCCTCGGGGCGGGGCCTGCCCGCCTGGGGGCGGGGCGCCACCGCGCAGGGGCGGGGCCGCACGACGCAGGGCGTGGCGTCAGCACGCGCGCCGCGCGGGGGCGGGGCCGGCGGGCCTGGGCGCGGCGCTTGAATCGCGGCTCGGTCCCGAGTCTGGGCTTCCGCTCGCGGGCCGCCCGTCCCCCCCCCCCCCCGAGCCCCTCAGCCCCCCCCCCGAGGTCCTCCCGGCCCCCCCGAGCCCCTCCCGCGCCCCCCAGCCCCCTCTCGAGCCCCGGCCCCCCCCCCCCCCCCGAGCCCCTCCCGGCCCCTCCAACCCCTCCCGGCCCCCGCCCCCACCCGAGCCCCCCCAGAGCCCCGGCCCCCCCCCCCCAGCCCCTCCCGGCCCTCGCCCCCCAGCCCCTCCCGGCCCTCGCCCCCCGAGCCCCTCCCGACCCCCCCAGCCCCTCCCGGCCCTCGCCCCCCGAGCCCCTCCCGACCCCGCCCGCACCCCCCCGGCCCCCCCCCCTCCCGGCCCCGGAGGCGGAGACCGCGGGCCGGCGGCGGCGGCGTTTATTTGAGCTTGGGCATGAGGCGGATGAAGAGGGTCGTGCTGATGAAGATGAAGCAGACGACGACGAGCATGGCCCACAGCAGCCAGTTCACCGACTTCTGCGCGTGCTGCTCCAGCCGCTCCGACTCCGCCTTCAGCTTCTCCAGGTTCTGATCGGCCATCTTCAGCGAGTGCGACAGGGTCTGGGGGGGTCCGCGTGGGGTCAGGGGGCGGGGCCGCCCCTCCCTGCCGCCCTGGCTCGGCCTGTGACCCCTGACCCTGGCTGAGGCGAAGTCCCACTCCCGAGGCCCCGCAGCAAGCGGCTCTGGCCGCCCCGGGTGGGCGCGCGGGGCCGCACCTGGTTGTCCTTCTTGATGACGCTCTGCGCGGCCAGCGTGTTGGTCTTGAGGCTCCGGGCCAGGCCCAGCATCTCCTCCGCCAGCTTTTCCTGGAGGTCCTGGTGTCGCTGCAGGACCAGGTCCAGTTCCGCTGCCGATTGCTTCTCGTCGGCGGGCTTGGGGCGCGTCACCCCCGCTGGGGGCACAGGGCACAGGGTGTGGACGCGACGCGCGGGAGCGACCGGCGGTCGCGCGTCCGTCCAGCCACCCACGTCCCGGGAGGAGCGGCTCCATGCGGCCTCCGGCGGGCCCCCTTGCCCCTCCCGGCCTGCCCTACCCCAGGACACTCACGGTCGTTTCCTCACATCCGGCTGGGGCTCTAGAGGCGAGACGCAGCGAGCAGTTAGAAGGAGAAGGTCGGTTTGCGTTCCCAGCCCCCTCACCTCTGCCTGCGTGCTGCCTCTGATAACCCAGAATGTGGGCTACTGGCCGGTGGGCTCCTTGTCCTGCTTCAGAGCCCTAGCTGGAATGTCCTCCAACGGAGCCCACCTTCCCTGGATCCTGACTCCCCAAAGCCCCGGGCGCCTCTGTGGCTGGCATTGGTCTTGTGAGCTGGGGGTGCGGTGCCTTCCGTAGGTCACCGGACCTCCACCTGGGCTGTGCCCGGGGGAGCCGGGGGGGGGGGGGGGAGGCAGCGGGGTGGGGGTCACTCACCTCCGGCCGAGTCCTGTGGGAGGAAAGACAGGCGTGAGGTCAGCCCCTTTGTTCTGTCCCCAAGTCTCTATTTTATTTCCTGTGCGGGGCTGGGCCTCCCGAGCTAGGATTGCAGGCCATGCCCCGCCGTGCTTCTGCGCTCAGAGCTTCTGCGCTCAGAGCTTCTCCTCTTCCACCTGAGCCCAGCGTTGTCACCCAGCTTCCGGCCTGGCATCGAACTGGGTCACCCTGCAGATTCCTGTGGTGACCTGTGAGCCACACGTGCTGGGCCTCAACCACACCCAACTCCTACTCATCTACCGAAGCTCTGGCCACAGTGTCCCTCCCTGGCGTTGGCCTTGCTGTCCGAGGGTGACCCGGGAGCTCACCGCGCCCAGCAGCTCGCTCCGCATCTCGCTGGCGTACCGGGCGCGGGACTGCAGGTGCACGGTCTTGGTGGCGGGCACCCGCTCCCTGGCCGTGGTGGGCACGCGCCCGGGGGTCAGAAACTGGTTGGCGAGGGCCTTTTCGGAGGAGGAGGCCTGCGGGAGGCGAGGCCGGGGTCAGGGCCGGGCCGGGCCGGGGAGGGCGGCGGGGACCCGGGACCCCGGCCCCGGCTCACCAGCTTCTCGGCCTGCAGCATGCCCTTCAGGAAGTTCACCTTGCGCGAGTACTCGCCGAGCACCTCCGAGGCCGGCTTGCTGCGGGCGACAGGGCGAAGGAACCACCTGTCCGCGGGCCCGGCGCGGGGACGGGCCCCGAGCCCGGGCGCCCCGCGGACCCCGGCGGCCGCACTCACCTGGCGTGGGCCTTCAGGGCCTGCAGCATGTCCTCCAGGGCCCCCACGTACTGCGGGGACACGGGCGGGTAAGCGCGCCGCGCCCCCCGGCCCCGCTCGCCGGGGGCGGGGCCTGGGCGGGGCGGGGCCTGGGCGGGCCCGGGGGCGGGGCCTGGGCGGGCGGGGCCGCACGCCGACGTGGCGGCGGTGGCCGGAAGGGGCGGGGCCAGGGCGGCTGTTGGGGCCCGAGAGTCCGTCCGGCCTAGTGGCCACCCTCCGGGACGTGAGTGGTGCGCGGCCGCGCGGCGTCCCCCTCACCTTCTCCAGACGCCAATCCTCCGGGTCCCGCTTCTCCGCTGCCATTGCCTCGCAGCGACACAGCAGCCTCACGAGATTCAGCTCCAGCCGGGACGCCACCATGGCTGGCTGCGGGTGCCCTGCCTCTTCCGCCGGCGCCATCTTAGGGATGGGCGGAAGTGCGTCTAATTGAGTTCCTTCCGGGCGGATGTGCTCCACCTTTTGCCCCATCTTGATTGTGGGCGGAAGTTGCGTGCTGTGTGGAGAGTCGTCACCCCGTCCATGTTTATTTCGGGCAAAATAGCTTGCTTTCTGAAAGCGTGTGAGGCCCGAGCTCTTCAGCGCGTCCCCGCGTGCGGCGCCCGCCCTCGCCGTTCCGCGCCCCGCGCGCGGCCCCCCACGCCGGCCCTATCCCGCTCCCCTTGGAGAAAATAAACCTCGCGCGAGGTTTCAGAGCCGACGGCCCGGCCCGGCCCGCTTCTTGGCTGGATGGCGTCGGCTCTGCCCTGGCCGTGAGCCAACTCCGCAAGTTCGGGTCCCGGTGCGGAGACTAAGCCCGTCCTCAGCGCCCTGTCGCGGCCGGCCTCGCGGGGAGGGGTCGGGGGAGCCCAGCAAGGCCCGCGGACGGCAGGCGGGCGCCAGGGCCCGGGGTCCGCCCCCCCGCCCCGCCCCGCGCTCCCCTCCCGGGACGTGCTGCGCCCGGCGCCCGTCCGTCCAGCGCCCGTCCGTCCCGCGGCCTCAGTGAGGGCCCCGGCCGAGCCCCTCGTGCCGGGTGCGGCCCTGCGGCCCCGCGCGGCCTCCCGTGGGAGGGTGCGGAGGGTCAGCGCACGCGGTGCGTCGCCCCCTGCGGGCTGGGCTGGGGCTCGCCCGGACCGTCGTCCCGTGGCCTGCGCGCTGACCTCAGCTGCTCAGCCCAAGGCGGGCGCTCTGCCGCTCGGGCCAGCGCCTTTTCTGCTTACGGGGTGCCAAGGAATCGAACCCGGGGCCTCGTGCATGCAGCGAGGCTACCCCGGGGCCGCCTGCCCAGCCCCCGGCGTCCTGTTCCCCGGCCCGGCTGGGGCCCGGCGCCCGGCGGCTCCCGGGGAGGACGGTCGCAGCGCGGAGCGGCGGAGGCGCACGCGTCTCTCAGGCACTTGTTTATTGTACACGGCCGCGGCCCCCTTGGTCCCGCCCCGCCCGGGGCTCCCGGGGCTCCCGCCGCTCGGGGCAGGGCCGGTCCGGCACGGCTGGTCCGGGCCCTGCGCGGGACGGGGTGGAGTCCACTCCCCCGCGCCGGGGTCTCCCCGGCTTCCGCGTCCCAGTCCCAGCACCCGGGCGGCGGCTCCACGCGTGTCTGCGGGCCGCGCTCCGGCGCCTCGCGGAGCGGGAGGCCGGCGCTCGTGCGGTGACCCGGAACCCCGGTCCTCGGTGGCGGCGGCTGCGCAGTCCGCGGCGGCGGGCCGCAGGAGCGGCAGGGGCGCGGGCCGCGTGTCAGCCGTCGGCCGGGCCGGCGTCGGGGGGCAGGCAGTACATCGGGGGGTCCGAGTACCTCCGCAGGGCGGCGGGGGGCGCGGCGGCCCGCCCGGCCGGCTCCGGGGCTCCGAGCGCGGGCGGGAGGGCTCCCGGGGCGGCGTAGACGGAGCGCACGAGGTCGGGGCGGCGTGCGGGCGGCTCGCGGCGCCGCGCGGCCAGGCCGGGCGGGAGCTTGATGTTGGCGGTGGGCAGCACGGGCGTCCGGCGCGGCGTCTTCACTCTGACCGTGATGAAGGACGGCGGCCTTCGTGGCGGGGCCGCGGCCTCCGCGGGGCGGGGGCGCGGGGCGGGCGCGCCGGGGCGGGGGGGCGCGGGCGCGGGGGGCCCTTGGGGAGAGACGCGGGGTTACGCCGCGTCGGGGCGCGCGGGGCCGGGCCGGCGGGCACGCGGGCCGCACCCTCCTCAGTACTGACCTTCGCCGGCCGCGCGCTCCTCCAGCAGGCTCTCGGTGCTGGCCGACGCCTCCGAGTCCACGTTCTCCTCGTCCGAGCCCCGCGGGTCCAGCTCGGGCAGCCGGTACGTGATGTCCTCCCTGCGGACGGCCGGCTGAGCAGGTGCCGGGGGCGGGGAGGGGGGCGGGGGGGGCGGGCAGGGACAGGGGCGGGGGAGGGGGGGATGGGGACGGGGGAGGGGGGCGGGGACGGGGAGGGGGGCGGGGGGGACGGGGAGGGGGGCGGGGGGGACGGGGAGGGGGGCGGGGACGGGGGAGGGGGGCGGGGGGGACGGGGAGGGGGGCGGGGGGGGCGGGCAGGGACAGGGGCGGGGGAGGGGGGGATGGGGACGGGGTAGGGGGGCGGGGGGGACGGGGAGGGGGACAGGGGTTGGGGAGGGGGGAGGGGGGGCGGGACAGGGGCGGGGAGGGGGAGGGGGGACGGGGACGGTGGGGGGGGAGGGGGACGGGGAGGGGGGCGGGGGGCACTTGCTTCTCCTCTTGATGGACTGGATGCGCTCCGATGAGCATCTCCTTCTCCCGGTCCCTCGTCGCCGCCCGCCGCCTCGTCCTCGCGCAGCGCCTCGGGCCGCCGGGCCCGGCCGCGGCCTTGGGGCTCCGCGTCTGGAAGGGAGGCGCGGGGGGTAGCGGGAGGGCCGTCCCGCTAGTGGCCCTCGCTCGGAGGGGCGCCGCCCAGCATGCACTTCCGGGAGGTTAGAACCCGCGGCGGGCGCCGCCAGGGGACATGCACCGCCGCCGAGCGCGTACATACCAGGACCCCCTCATAGGGAGACGAGAACCCCAGTTTGAAGGGCCAGGGCTGGGGGAGAGACGAGCACAGGGTGAAGGGGCGCGGGAGCTCTGCGGGGTGCGGCCCCGGGGCCCCGGGGGGGCGGAGCGCGCCGGGGTCACGCAGCGTGGGGAGGCCCCGCCTCCTCCCCGCCCAGGAAGGAGGACGGAAGTTCCCGCCCCAGGGCCTAGCCACGGGCAAGCCTCAGGCCCCGCTCAACAGGCCCCGCCCCGACCAACCCAGGCCCCGCCCAGCCAACTGCCAGACCACGCCCCCTGCAACCAGGCGCCCTCCCTCCCCTTAGTCCTTGGCAGGCCACCGGAGGCCCCGCCCCTTACAGCCACGGCGGGCCCCGCCCCCACCGGCCCCGCCCCCCACCAAAGCTCACCGCGTTCTGCCGCAGGAGCGAGAGCCTGCGGAAGGCGATGCTCTCGGCGGCCTCCAGCTGGCTGATGTCCTCCATCTTCACCCTGTACTTCCGCATCTGCTCTTTGATCAGCATCTCCACGCACCTGCGGGGACCGAGGAGGGAGGGGTTCGGTCACCCCTGCTCTGAAGTAGGCTGCCCGGGAGGGTGGCACCCCCGTGGGTCCGCAGGTCGGGGCCCCACCCCCCACATAAGTACGGGATGAAGAGGTTGAGCGCCTCATAAGCAGAGGAGGTGTGCTGGTCAGGCAGCGGGGACCCGGCCTGCCGTGGCTAGTCCGTACCGGGTGGACTTGGTCAGACACTCGGCCCAAACTGGCCTCTGGCATCAGTGCAGGAGGGAGGGTGGGGGATGGATGGACTCGGGCACCCCACACATGAATGGGGGGAACGGTAAAAACAGGGCTCAATGACGCAGAGCTCCGTCGGAGCTGGCTGGGCTCTGGGCATCTTTCTATGGCGGCGGTGTGGAAGGGTGGAGCGGGCAGGGGTCCCCGGGCCCGGCACTCACATGGTGATCTTGAGCACGTCCTTCATGCTTGTCAGCGGGTCCGAGGTGTCGGGGGCAGCGCAGCAGGCAGGGCGCAAAGATGATGGCCAGGGCCCCGGGGCGACATGCGGTTCACATCCTCCAGCAGGGCCACCCTGTGCGGCCACCGACAGTCAGGGGGCTGCAGGGCTGGGGGGGCCATGTGGGGGTCTAGGGGCGCAGCCCTGGGGCTCCGGAGCTGGGGTGGGGGTGCCACGCGGGGGTCTGGGGGCACTTGCTTGACCAGGTGGAAGATGAGCCGCTCCAGGGCCGTGTGGTTGGCCTCGGGCAGGTGCTCCAGGACGGCATAGATGGCGGCCAGCTGCTCCTGCTTCTCAGGTAGCTCTGGGAGGCCAAGGCGGTTATCCTGGGCCCTGGGGCTGGTGCCCACCCCGGGGCACCCGCGGGCGCGGCTCACCCACAGCCGCGCAGGAAATCGCCGTACTGCGCGAAGGTCATGAGCGGCTCCGGCAGCTCCCGCAGCCCACTGCTTCAGGACGCCGGTGATGGCATGGATGGGAAAGTCCTCCAGCTTCACAGCAGCTGGGTCTGTGGGCCAGGCCGGGTGAGCAGGGCCCGCATCCCCCCACGCCGGGGGTGCCAGGCCGGGGGGCCCACCGCGCCCACCTGTCTGCAGCGCCTGCCGCAAGCTCCCGCGTCCGATTGGCCGCGCCTGACTTGCGGTAGAGGCCCTCGGTGTACAGGCCATGCATTTCCACGTGTTCCAGAAGCTTCTCCAGCACCACGGGCACGGAGGCTTTGTCACTGGTCAGGCTGCCCACGCACACTCCGAAGTGGCCTGGCTCAGCGCCGGGCTCGGCCTGACATGTCAGGATGAGGGGTGTGGGGGTGAGGGGTAAGGGGTGTGGGGTTAGGGGTGAAGGGTGGGGTGTGGGGTAAGGGGTGTGGGGTGAGGGGTGTAGGGTTAGGGGTGTGGAGTAAGGGGGGTAGGGTTAGGGGTGTGGGGTTAGGGGTGGGGTGAGGGGTGTGGGGTGAGGGGTTAGGGGTGGGGTGTGGGGTGAGGGGTGTGGGGTTAGGGGTGGGGTGAGGGTGTGGGGTTAGGGGTGAAGGGTGGGGTGTGGGGGTAAGGGGTGTGGGGTGAGGGGTGTAGGGTTAGGGGTGTGGAGTAAGGGGGGTAGGGTTAGGGGTGTGGGGTTAGGGGTGGGGTGAGGGGTATGGGGTGAGGGGTTAGGGGTGGGGTGTGGGGTGAGGGGTGTGGGGTTAGGGGTGGGGTGAGGGGTGTGGGGTTAGGGGTGAAGGGTGGGGTGTGGGGTAAGGGGTGTGGGGTGAGGGGTGTAGGGTTAGGGGTGTGGTGTAAGGGGGGTAGGGTTAGGGGTGGGGTGAGGGGTGTGGGGTTAGGGGTGGGGTGAGGGGTGTGGGGTGAGGGGTTAGGGGTGGGGTGAGGGGTGTGGGGTGAGGGGTTAGGGGTGGGGTGAGGGGTGTGGGGTTAGGGGTGAGGAGTGAGGCCTGGGTGGGTGGCAGACACAGGCGGCTCTGCCCCTCAGCCTCTGCCCTGGCTGTGCAGCTGCTGGGTGCCTGGTGCGGGGGGCAGCCCGCAGGCCCTGGGCGGGGGTCTCCTCCACGGCAGCATTGTGAGGGACAGCGGCCCAAGCCTCCAGCGGCCGCCGCTCTGCTGCCCCTGTGCGGAAGCTGAGCTCCTCTGTGCAGGGACGCGGCTGCTCAGGCCCGCACGGGACCCTTCCAAAGGGACGCAGGACTGGGGGACAATCTTCCCTCCTCCGCCTGGGAGCACAAGGACCCCTCCCGCCGTACCCTGTGCCTGCCGCCCCCCTCCCGCCGTACCCTGTGCCTGCCGCGCCCCGCGTCCGGGGACACCCACCTTCCGCCCGCTCATGTAGGAGCAGTAGCTCTGAATCTTGTGCACGCACTTCTTGTGGCAGGTCATCTTGCACACTAGGACGTCATATGGTCACCACGCGTGTGTTGGAGACCCCAGGTGTCTGAGCTCCCCTCCCCACCCCGGGGGGACCCTCCCACCCCGTGGGAGGGGTCAGGCAGCTGCTGCGCTGGACGTGGGGGGGATGAGGAGGAGCTTTGGGGACCTCGCTGAGGGGATTTTGGGGCTCTACTATGCCTGGGTGTCCGTGTCCCCTAGGGAGCATGGTGGGGGGGCAGGAGGACAGGGGTCAGGGAGTGGGAGCACTGAGGACCACGGCCCCGCGGCAGAGTCCACAGCAGGGTCCGCGTGAGAAGGGCTGCTGGAGGGGGGCTGGGGGGAGCCGGCTGCGGAGGGAAGGCTGCGCTCACCGCTGCACAGCAGCGCCTTGTCCATGAGCCAGATGTAGGAGAGACACTGCTCGCACGACTGCGGGATGCTCACTTGGTAGCTGGCAAACACGTGCCCGTTGTGCTCCTGGACCTGGGGGGTGGGGGCAGCTGAGCAGGTGCCCCGCCCCCTCCCAGGCGACTTTACTCCTGGGCAGTGAGACAATTCACACCCCGGGCACACCCCAGTAAGCACTAGCGCATGGCACACCCCCAGGATCAGTACTCACAGCACGCTCCTGTTTCCGCTTCTTCTTCTGAGCTTTGCCCTGGTTAGGACACACAAGGTCAGCCTGGTGACCAGGGGACTCCCTAGGAACCCCAAATGTCCAGCACCCCAATGCCCGCCCACCTAGAAACCCTTGAAGCAGAAAAGAAGCCGTGAGGGGTTTGTGGGGGGGGGGAAGGGAGGGGCAGAGGTAGGCGTGGCCACAGCAGGGAGGTGGGGCCAGGAGGGAGGGTGTGGCCAGGTATGGGCGTGGCCCAGGCAAGGTGGGCGTAGCTGGAGCGCCAGGACGCACTTTAGCAGGCTCAAAGTCGTTCTTGGTGTAGCCGCGGGTGAACTCGTCCAGCAGGGACTGGAAGAGGTTGAGGACCAGGTTGGTGTCCTTCTGGCCGCGCTCGGTGGCCAGGTTGTTGACAACGATCTGGTAGTTCTCCATCAGGTCCTTGTAGCCCACGTGGATCTTCCCATTCTGCGGGGACGCAAGGTGTCAGCCCCACAGCCAGGAGAGGGCTGCAGAAGAGATGGGGGGCCACCGGGAGGTCACGTACCGGGACAGAGTACATGGTCTTGATGTTGCTCCTGAATGTTTCAGTGGCTTCGATAAACAGGCTCTCGATGGGGGTCTTCTGGGAGCGCAAGTCGTTGATCTGCAGGAAGAGGAGTGAGCTTCGGGCCGGGCCTCCCCCCAGCCAGGCCAGGCCAGGCCTGCCCATGGAGCCAGCCTCCCCCGCCCCCAGCCAGGCCAGGCCCGCCTCCATGGAGCCGGCCCCCCCCCCCCAGCCAGGCCAGGCCCGCCTCCACGGGCCGGCCTCCCCCCAGGTCCTGCCACCCGCTCACCTTGTTGAGCAGGAACTCGTCCAGGAACTTGAGCTCATTGGCATTGGTGATCTTGCGGTACACCGATTCCCGCCACTTCTCGGACACAGTGATCTTGCCGATCTTGAGGTTGCGGTTCTTCTTCCCCCTGCCTCCAGCCTCCTTGCTCTGTCTCTCGCCCGCGAGCCGGTGCTGCTGGCTGGAGGGCGCTGGGGGTTGCAGAGCAGAGGGGAGGGGAGGTGGGTTCAGGGAAGGGCACTGGCCAGCTTGGGGGTGCCAGTCAGAAACAGGAAGCCAGGACCCCCAACCACAGGCCTCTGTCTGTGGCCAGAAATCCCCACCCCCAGCTCTGTGCCCAGGGCCTAGCCAACCTTCTAGATTCTTCTTCACAGTGGCTTCCAGAACAGCCGGCCCAGAGGCCACATCCTCCATCTCCTCTACATCCAGGCTGTATTTTTTGTCCTTGGTCTTATGCAGGAAGAGTCTCTTAAAGGTGGATCTAGAAGAGGAAAAAGCGTGGCTTCTTTTCTTGCTTTTCTCAGGCTGTGGCCTGGGCTGGCTCTGAGCTCCTGCCTTTAAGCGATCTTGCCGCCCAGCCTCCCAAGCGGCTGGGAATACAGCGCGTGCCACCAGGCTGCGCCCTCGCTGTTACGTGTTTTCCTTTAAGCCATGGGTAGCCAGCCCGACTAGCTTCACCAGCAAGGACTCTGCCTAATTTAAAAAAAGGGGGACAACTGGGTGCAGGGGCACAGCTCAGGGGCAGAACTCTGGCCTTGCTTCCCGAGGCCCTGGGCAACGTGCCCGGCCCTGGCGAAGGGGAGATGCCATCGCATCTCTCTTCCGTAAGTGGCGAAGTGGACGCTGCGAGAGATCCCGTCTGCTTCTCCGCGCACCCTGGGCCCCTTACTTGGAGTCCAGCTGGGAGCCCGGGGACAGCCCGGTGTCAGGGCCTGCGAAGGTGTCGCCTGACTTCTTCTTGTGGATAGCAGCCTTCTTGGAGCTTGACTGGCCATCGGTTTCGGCAGGAGACTGCAAACAGCGCAGGGAGGGCTGGTGAGGACGGGGGGGGGGGGGGGGGGGGGGGGCAGGGCGGCCGGGCCGGGTCCACTCCACACACTGCCCACTGGGGTCCACACTGTACACAGTGCCCGCCAGGGTCCACACCGCACACAGTGCCCGCCGGGGTCCACGCCGCACACACTGCCCGCCGGGGTCCATGCCGCACACACTGCCCGCCCACTGCCAACTCCACTCGTGTTTTAACTGGGGGCCACTGTGTGGCTCAAATCACTCTTCACCTTTTCTTTTTTTTCCAGTCCTGGGGCTTGAACTCTGGGCACGGGAACTGTCCCTGAGCTTCTTTGTGCTCAAGGCTAGCGCTCTACCACTTGAGCCACAGCGCCACTTCTGGCTTTTTTTGAGTAGTCTACCGGAGGTTAGTCTCACAGACCTTCCTGCCTGGGCTGGCTTTGAACTGCGATCCTGAAATCTCAGTCTCCTGAATAGTTAGGATGGCAGGAGCAAGCCACCAGCGCCAGCCACTGATCTTTCTAACCTGGCCTCCCGAGTGCTGACTGCGGGTCTGAGCCTCAGGCTGGCCCGCCTCCCCCCGGGGCTCTGGCGGCGCTGGCATTACCTGTGTCTTGGCAGGAGACAGTTGGGAGACGTCGTTACTGGACGAGGAGCTGTGCCTCTCCCTGCAGGGCCGCAGAAACTCATGTCAGCCCAGCCTGGGCGGGGCCTGGCGGTGCAGCGCGGGCCCCGGCTGGCAGGGGGAGGGCGGGGGGGGGGGGTTTCTGGCCCAGTGGGTAGAGGTCGGGTGCTGGGGGGCTCCCTGGAGTGCGCAGGAGGCCGGGGACGCTGGGTACCGCTCCCACCACCACCACCAGCTGCTGCAGCCTCCGCCCGCGCCCCACAGCCACACCCCAAGCCCACATTCCTCCCCGTGTCTGCTCACTGTCCATCCCCCGTGTACCCCCATACCGCACGCCCCTTCCCTCCACCAAACCCATCCACCGCCCCTTGTTCTATCCATCCCCGCACCACACCCACAAACCACCCACCCATCACCCCCCACCATCCCCCCCTACCCATCACCCACCCCCCATCCCCCCCATCTACCCCTACCCACCATCCCCCCATCCCCCCCACCATCCCCCCACCCATCTTCTACCCGTGGGTGACTATTGTGCACCCCACTTGTTGATAGAACCTGAGGCCTAGGGGTGCTCATGGAGGGGGGCCTAAGCCCTGGGGGAGGGTGGGCTCACTCTGTGGGCGTGATGGCTCCGGGGGGCTGTGCCGGGTCGCTGAGGTCCGGGGACTGGCTCAGCGCAGCACTGGGCCCGCCGGCGCCCAGCTTCTTGCCCCGCCACAGCTCCACGGCGGCGGCCAGGCGCTCGGCGGCGGGGGGCTGGTACCGCTGGATGTGAGCGGGGCCGCTGGGGCTGCCGCCCCCCCTCTCCTGGTCTTTCGGGGCTTCGCAAGGGCTGCTGGGCGCCAGGGCCAGGCTGCTGGGTGCCAGGGCCAGGCTGGTGGGCCTCCGTGGGGTGCTGGGGCTCGGGCTCCCAGCAGGGGGCGCCCCCGAGTCTCCCGAGGCCGCGGTGTCCGGCTCGACCTGCTGCTTCTCCATGGGCCGCTTCCTCTCGGTGCTGTCTACGGTCTCTGCTGCCACGTCCGAGGGGGTGTCCTCCGTGACCCCCATTCTGTCCTCTGCGAGGCTCTCTCCCGGCTCTGGGACAGCCCTTCCGGAAGGTTCTCGGAGGGTGCTGTCCTCCTTACAGAGCTGGCTGTGCTTGTTCTGCAGCGCCACGTGCTCCAGCCCGCGCTGCCGGCGGGACTCCCGCTTCTCCCGGCTGCTCGGGGCTTTGTCATGGCTTTCGGCCGCCATGCTTCCCTGGGACGCGGAGTCCTTCTCGGGGGGTGGGGGTTCGGCTGGGGCGTCCACCGCCAGCGGCTCGGAGTCCTGCCGGGCGGCGGGGCCAGGCTGGTCCTGGACGGCGCCTTCCATGGCGGCCTCCCGCGCTTGCTCCTCCGCCTTCTTCTTCTCCAAGATCATCTGGTTAAAGCTGGTGCGAGAACAAAGGATCAGAGGCTGCGACCCACCACCCCAGAACCAAGGGAGGTCCAGCACCGCGCCCCCAACCAGCATCTCCGCGTGACATCTCTGAGAGATGCTTCTGGAGGCCCAGTACAGCCTGACAGGCCTGTAATTCCGGCTACTTGGGAGGCGACGGCAGGAGGATGGAGCTCCGGGCCTGCCAGGGCTGCAGTATGAGACCCAGGATTGACAGGAGAGTGGGGTGCCCGGGGTGCCTGCGGTCCCCGGGTGTCGGGGGAGGGGCTCACCTGCGGCGCTGCAGGTGGCCGCGGCACAGGCTCTGCAGGCGGATGACGCGCTGGCGGTGCAGGTGGAAGGCCCGGCGCTGGAGGAAGCCCCGCCAGGCGGCCTGCAGCACCACGGCGGCCCGTGCCCGCGCCCGCGCCCGGCGGGCCTGGCGTGCGCGCCACAGTGCCTGCAGCAGCCGGGCCGCACGCCGGGTGCGCAGGAAGCGGCGCCGCTCCAGGGCGGCGCGGAACCAGCTCTGCAGCAGCAGGATCTTGCGCAGGACCTCGCGGTGCAGCGTCTCCTGCAGTGCCTGCCGCTCTGTCTCCTTCAGGAAGACCTGCGGGCACGCGGGACCCGGCTCAGCGCCCTGGCTGCAGCCCGGGCGGGACATTTCCCAGTCCCGTTCTTCCAATCCCACCAGGGGGCCCAGCTCCCCAAGGCCTGGGCCCCTCCTGGCAGGTTCAGCCTGTCCCCCGACCTCTGTACCGCTCCTGGCGCCCAGGGTCGGGCGGCCGGGTTGCAGAGTGTGTGGGATTTTTGCGGGCACAGTAATGCTCCACCGCCACGGCCTTCCTCCCCACAGGCGCATTTAGCTCGGCCTCTGCCCTTGGCCAGTGGGCTGGGGAAGGGGCTGCGGTGAGCGTGCGTGGAGCACCCGTTCTCAGCGGAGGGGTGCGTGTCTAGTGTGGGCAGGGCCCTGCTTGCATCCCCTACTGGAACAAACAACGCTGACAAGACCTCGAGACGCCCGAAGGAGACAGCTTGGGAGGCCGCCGCGGGCACCGCACTGTGGCCGGGTGGGCCGTCTCATAAGGGCGGGGTGGGGGGTGCACGGCAGCGTGAGGTGGTGGGGTTCTCCTGGGACCCATCAGCCCGCTCGAGGGCGGGTGGTTATGAGAGTCTGACGCCAGCACGTCTCTGGCTCCGGTCTCGCCATGTGACCTTTGCTGCGTGCGCCCCAACGCTGCGTGCTGTGACCCCCCCCCCCCCCGGGCCATGGGAAGCATGGGAGGGCATGATGGGTGGGGAGGGCGTGGCGGGCTGACCTTGGTCCTCCCGATCTGGTAGTTTCTCTTGTCCACCTGCATCCTCTCCAGCAGGGCCGCGATGACCTCTCTGCAGGGCTGGGCGTTCTTGGGCAGCAGAACCTGGAACTGCTCTGTGAAGTCCTGGGGTGCGGGCAGGGTGGGGACAGGGCCGGGAGTGAGCTTCCGGCCAGCGAGAGCCCCGCCCCCAGCCCCGAGGGTGCAGCTGGCACGGGCGAGGGCGGGTCCGCGGGTCCTGCGCAGCGCGGCTACCTGGAAGGTGTACTTGGCGCTGTAGCCGGAGCGGCGGATGCGCACGGTCTCCAGCATGCCGGTGTAGCGCAGCTGCTGCAGCACCAGCTCCTCGTCGAAACACAGCTCTTTCTAGAATGGCATGCGGGGGGGGGTCAGGGGGGAAACCGAGGCAGCCGCGCCCCGGAGGCCCAGGCCCTGGGGGGACAGGGCTGGCCCGCAGCAGCCTCCTTTCTCTGCGCCTGTTGTTTTGAGCCAGGCTTGCTCTGTGACCCAGGCTGGCCTCGGTCACCATGCTCCGGCTTGGATTACAGGCGGGCCCCACACGCCCCTTCCCCCGAAGCCTGCTGGCCCCTGACAGGTCTTTCCTGACAGACCTGACCTCAGGCCTGTGCTCAGCTTCTGCCAGTGAGGCACGGGGCGGGGAGCCGGGGGGGATGCTGGGGACCGGCACCCTGGGCACCCCCAGTCCCTAGCCCCTGCCTGCATGTTCCCTGCACCGGCTGTTCCTGGGGCATGTGAAGGGCAGCCCCCCCCCCCGGTGCAGCACAGATGCGTTACTGGACACCCTCCTCCTACCCCACCCCACAGCCCAAGGATCCGGGGCTATCTTGGGGGTGTGGGTGCCCTCTGCCCCTGACGCCTGCCAGACACGCACCTTCTCTGCGTTGGAGCGGATGCAGCGGATGAAGAAGGGCTCGGCCTGGCCCAGGGCCTCCAGGAGCTTGTTCAGGGATGTCTGGGGGGGTGGGGGGGGGTCATGGTGTGGGTGAGCTGGGCCGCATGGGTGCTGCTGGTCCTGGGGGCACCGCACATGGACAGGGCAGCCGCTGGGTGTCCCCGGGCTGGCAAGCACCCATTCCAGAACCACCTGTGCCCTGGCCCTGGTGGCAGCAGGTGGTGGGGACTGGGGTGGGGGTGCCTGGGGGGGGCAGCTTCTGTCTGCCCTGCGGGGGGACAGAACCAGGACCCTGCTCCTGAGCCACGACCTGGGCCACCATCTGCTGCTTTTCAGGATTTCTAAAGGGCTGGACTCGGCGCTGGGCTCTGGGTTCGATCCCTCCCACCAGAAGAAAAGGAAATGATGTCACCGCCGAAGAGCCGAGGATGAGGAGTAGGGAGGAATGGAAACATTCACTAGGGGATGCCTCGAAAACAATGTCTCCGAGCTTCCTGGCAGCCAGGGAGACAAGGGCCACATGACGTAAGGACAGGGTTGGGTGGCTCTGGACCAGGGCATGGCTGGCACTGGTGGTGGAGCAGGTGTGTGTGGGGGGGTGGGTGTGGGGGGGGTGGTGGTGGTGGAGAGGCTCGTGGGCACCCTCACCTGGAACTGAGCGCTGATGCTGGGTGGCTTCTTCTTCTTGTGCAGGTGCAGCAGGGACTTGGTGGTGCGGTCGTGCAGTGTCATGCTGATGATGAGCTTCAGGGACTTGGAGTCCAGAAGGTTCTAGGACAGAGACATGGGGTCTGGCCTGCCCTCCGCCAGGCACGGCCAGGGGAAGGGGCGGGGCCTGGCGTGTGCTGGGGGGGGCACCTCAGCTCCGCTCTGGGATGGCTGTGGGGGCACCGCTGCCGGCCTCCCTCTGGGAGCCCCCCACGGAACTCCCCCTTCTCCCGCCCCAGCCTCCGCAGCGCTGGGGGTGCGGCAGGTGCCACCATACCCAGCCAGGGACATGTTCCGAGGGCAGGCGGGAGCCACGGCGGGCGGCTCTACACCATGAGCCGGTGCGCACAGCAAGCCAGGCCCCACCTCTGCACACGGTACGCGTGTGCATGTGCGCACCCCAAGTCTGACAGCCTGCTGGTTCTAGGGATTTTGCGGTAGGGGACGATGAAAAGACTTTGTTTTTGGTTGGTTCTGGGTCTTGGACTCTGGGCCTGGTGCTGTCCCTCGGCTTCAGCAGAAGGCGAGCCTCAGATCTCAGCCTCCCGAGTGGCTAGGATGCAGGCGCGAGCTGCCGGCACCCAGTGAAGTTTTGTAATTTTCTCTTCCCTGGCTCTCAGTTCTTAGGGGCCATGGTCTTGAACTCGGGGCTTTGCATTTCCCAGGCAGGTGCTCTACTGCTGAGCCATGCCTCTAGTCCCAGGCCTTTTTTTGGAAAACTTGAATCTCCGCAAGTAGCTTGGGTGAGTGGAGCTGGCTGTGGGGGGCGGCTCAGCCCCCAGGCGTGGGATGACGGGCCGGAGCAGCTCACCTGGCTGCGGCTCTGACACAGCACAGCCCCGCCCATGGTGCACACGTGTCGGGCAGGGGACCAGGGTTCGAAGCCAACCGCAGCCACCACAGACATGGCTCTGGCACTATGGGTTTGCTGTGGGCGGGGAGCCTATCTCTGCAGATCCTCCAATTGAGAAAGCGCCCCCAGGATGGGCTTGCCCCATCCGGGCCTATAGCAGGGGACAAACCCCTGTCCACGGCCCGTGGGTAGAGACACCCCCAGACTGTGATGGTGTGTATGTATATACGCATGCACGTGTGTATATGTGTGTATGCATGTATGCATGTGTATGAACGTGGGTGCACTGCTGCCCAGCCACGGAAGAGGGCGCTGTGTGAGGAAGGCCTGAAGGGAGCTGCTGTGGCCCCAGGGCCCGGCCCCGCCCCGCCCCGCCCCGCCCCAAGTTTTCGCTGGCTTTACCTTGGGAATGATCTGCTTTTGTTTGGTACCTTTACTCTTCCTGTCAAAACAGTAAAAACGGGATTGTGAACAACAGGGGCCAGGCAGGCGGGGTGGGGTTAGTCCAGCAAGCCACCCTGGCGGGTTAGATCACGACGGACAGACACACAGACAGACAGAGACAGAGAGAGGGAGGGAGGGGGGAGAGAGAGGACAGAACAGTGAACTAGCGACCCAGGGCAGCCCGGTGCCCAGCGCAGCCCGGTGCCCAGCACTGCCTCTCCAAGGCCCTGCCCTGCCTCTTGTGCTCTGTGGCAGGAGGGGAGGGACAGCTGGGGGGGACCCCCTGACCCCTTGGGGGCTACGCCTGTGTGGACAGGAGAGGGGAGCGAGTCTGGGGCTGGGGCAGGGACCGTGCTTAGCAACCCGCAGCGTGGACTGTGCTACAGCCGCAGCAGCTCCTGCCTGTAATCCCAGCAACCGGCCAAGCAGAGATGGGGAGGAGGACGGTTCCAGCCAGCCTGGGCAGAAGCTGGCAAGACCCCGTCCTCAGCAGCCAGCCAGGTGTGTCGGGTTCGCCTGTCATCCCAGCTACCCGAGAGGGTGAAGGTCGGAGGACCGGGGTCTGAGGCTGGCCTGGGCAAAACCGCGAGACCCTCTTCAAAAAAGAACAGGGGGCTTGGCAGAGGCTTCCTACAGCAAACCCACGCCCGGACCCCACCTCCAGAATCAGAAAGAGAACAAGGCAGGGCAAGTGTCTGCCGGGCCGAAAGAACCTGCATCTATGCTGGGCCATACTGTTAGCACTGGGTCTGCTTAGGGACTCGGCCCTGGGTTTGAACCAGAGCCTTCTAGATTCCCAGGCGAGAGGAAAAAGAAAGTGGGATCTTTAGTCCAAGGGAGACGGGGCAGCTCTGGAGTTGTTGCTGAACTTATAATTTTCTTTTTTTGTCAGTCGTGGGGCTTGAACTCAGGGCCTGGGCGCCTTTCCTCAGCTCTTCAGCTCAAGGCAAGTGCTCTACCCCTTGAGCCACTTCCGTTTTTTTGGGTGGTTCATTGGAGCTAAGTCTCAAGACCTTTGCTGCCCAGGCTGGCTTTGAACCGCGATCCTCAGATCTGTCATGAGTAGCTGGGATGACAGGCGTGAGCCACCAGGGCCTGGCTGGCATGGACTTCTGAGACAGGGTGTCACTATGCGGCCCAGACGGGCCCAGAACTCAGTCCTCCTGCGTTAGCCCCAGTGCTGGGATTAAAGGTATGGACCGCCACACCTGGCTACTTGTAGTGCACTGCACGCTGAGGAAAAGGCCAGTGCCAGCCTGCAGCCCGAGTGCTTTCTAAGGCAGAGCAGCTGGGGGTGTGACCGGAGGGCGGGGCCCACGGCCCGCCAGGGCTAGCATTACATCCAGTGACGTCAAAACCCAGCCACACGACTGGAGGGCTGGGATGGGAGGGTTTGGAAAATGAACGGGGCGGGGTGGCCAGAATCGAGGGCACCGCACAGAACTCGACGTACACCTCAAACCTCTTTGGATCGTTACTTCACTACACAGAAAGAAATGGATGTTAAAACCGCCTCCATGGGCTGGGAAGGTGGCTCAGTGGTAGAGCGCTCACCTCGCATGCCTGAGGCCCTGGGTTCGATTCCTCAGCACCACAGACACAGAAAAAGCCACAAGTGGTGCTGTGGCTCAAGTGGTAGAGCACTAGCCTTGGGCTGAAGAGCTGAGGGACAGCGCCCAGGCCCAGAGTTCAAGCCCCAGGACTGGCAAAAACAAACAAAAACAAACAAAAAACCCTCAACCCCCCCACAAACTGCTTCTCTGCCGAGCATGGTAGCATCCACCTGCAGTCCTAGAACTTGAGAGGCTGAGGCAGGAAAACGGCTTGTGAGCATCCTGGGCTAGGTGGCAAGACCCCAGCTTTGGATAAGAGGAAAAGGAAGACAAAGCATTAAAAAAAAAGAAAAAAAAAAGAAAAAAGTCCCCTGTGGCTGCAGGCACTGGTCAGCCGCCGGGGCCGAGCCGGGGCCGCTGTGCTCAGCCGCCAAGCAGGGGCCTGGCCGGCCATGCTCAACCCGAGCGAGAGCCCTGGCCACATGCTGGCAGCCCAGATGGCCCCTGGTGGGGTAGGACATGGGGTCCCCCGGCCTGAAGGCCAGCACCCCACTTTGCAGTGGGACCTGGAGTCTCGAGTCCTCTACCAGACATCAGGGGGGCTTTGCTGGGAAGCTGGGCTGGGGTGCAGGGGCCACCCCCATTTCCCCAGCTGTACTGGGCAAGGGGGGCTGGCGGCAGGAATGCGGTTCCAGCACCAAGGTGGGGGGCCGGGCTCGGGATGGAGGGCTGGCAGGGATGAAGCGCGGGGTGCGGGGCGGGGCGCGGGGGGCCGGGACTCACAGGATGAAGGTGTGGGGCGGCCTGTGCAGCCGGCTGAGGGACCGGAGGAGTCGCCGGGGGTCCCCACCCTGCCAGGGCAGTCCTTTGAGACTCTGGATGATTTGGTTATACAAATCGCTGAGGGCGGGAAGGGGTCGGGGGTCAGAGAGCAGGCGGGGAGTCGCAGCCCGCCACCGGAGCACCCCGCGTCCCGAGCCCCGGGCAGGCCGCTGTCCCCGTCCCGGAGGGCAGGGGTGCGGAAGGCACCTGACACCGTAAGAGGCCCCATGGTGCGGGGTTGGTGGACCGCAGCCGTGAGCTGGGGGTGGTGGTGGGGGAATCACTTTGCTCAGGCGGGGTCCGGCCAGGCCCCGCGCAGGGCTTGGAAGGAAGGTGCGGGGCAGGCTGCGGGAGTGTGCCCGCGCCTGCTGGCCATCCACCCCGCAGACAGAGGCAGCCATGCTGAGGTGAACTTCCAGTCCAGGAAGAGTGCTACCCAGGGTTTTTGGGGGACCAGGGTCTTGTGCTTGCCAGGCAGGTACCCCAACGCTTAATGCTACACATCTCAGCCCTTTCTCTGCATCGGTTTCTTTTTGGGTCAGGGGGCTTGAACTCTGGGCCTGGGCGCTGTCCCTCGGCTCTTTAGCTCAAGGCAATTGCTCTACCCCACAGTGCCATTTCCGGTTTTCTGGTAGCTTATTGGAGATCAGAGTCTCACGGCTGGGCTGGCTTTGAACCCTGATCCTCACCTCTCAGCCTCCTGAGTAGCTAGGATGACAGGCGTGAGTCACTGCTCTCTGGGCTAGAACTGAAATCTTTCTGGGGCCTGGTGTTTGCTAGGCAAGCACTGTACCACAGAGCCACGCCCTTCCCACCAGGCCACGCCCCTGGCCACCAAGCCACGTCCCAGCATCCTTAGTGGTTAGTCACGCTTAATCTCTGGGCTGCTGGCCTGGGCGGGGAGGGGGGTGCGCCTCAGTGGCCCCTCGTCTGTGTTCCAGGCACCACGCGAGTGCCCGGACGCACAGCGGCACTCACCTGCGCCCCGTCGCCCTCCAGGGAGGCACAGTCACCACCGTCACGTCTGGGCCTCGTCAGAGCGCTCAGGGCGCCTGCAGGCCCCCCCCCCCCCCCCCCCGCTGATCGGCGTCTGAGCACTGGACGCTGCCCTCAACTCTGCCCTGCATGGCCCGGGCAGGTGGCTTGTGAGCTGTGCCTCCCTGGTCTCAGGCGGAAAGAGCCCTGTCTTCTACTTACTTCTTGCTTTCACAGAAAGCAATGATGTCCTCAAAAGTGCTCCTATCGAACTCCTCAGAGCGGTCAAATGAGAAATCTAGCATAGAACAGCTGCAAGGGAGAAGGCCAATGAAGCTCGGCTCCCGGGTCCCGGGGGCGGCGCTGCGGGCCGGGTGGGAGCCCCTGCCGCGCATGCGCTTACAGGCCACGGCTCAGCCAAACAGGAGGAAAAAATGGAAAACTCCAAAGCGCAGAAGCACGTGGAGGATGGGCTGGGAAGGCGGCTCCGTGGTAGAGCGCTCGCTAGCATGCATGAAGCCTTGGCTTCCTCAGCACCATACACAGAAAAAGCCAGAAGTGGCGCTGCGGCTCAAGGGGTAGAGGGCTCACCTTGAGCAAAGCAGCTCAGGGACAGCGCCCAGAACCACAGTTCAAGTCCCAGGACTGGCAGAAGAAAAAAAAACAAAAACAAACCGGCACATGGAGGAATGTGTTCTTTTATCTTTTGTGAGTAAAAAAAGGTCAACTAGGATTGTTTTCTCTTTTTGGAGACCAGATCCGCCTGTGTGCCCTGGCTGCCCTAGACCGGGTGAGGTTCCCCCCAGCCTCCGGAATGCTGGGGTGCTGGTGCCAGCGCACGGGCCAGAACACCCCTTTCTAAAAGCAGATGCTGCACTGTGCCTCATACGGTCACTTAACCAGCGGCCAGCCCTAACTCCGCTGCCTGCTCTCAAGACTCCCTGAAGAAGCCGCGCCAATGGCTCCCGCCTGTCATCCTAGCTACTCAAGAGGCTGACATGTGAGGATTGGGGTTCAAAGCCAGCCTGGGCAGGAACATCCATGAGACTCTGATTTCCAATAAACCACCAGAAAATCAGAAGTGGCGCTGTGGCTCAAGCGGTAGCGCGCTCGCCTTGAGCTGAAGAGCTGAGGGACAGCGCCCAGGCCCAGAGTTCAGGCCCCGCACCCCACCACCACGAACAAAAAGACTCCCTGAAGTTTTGTGATGAAGAGGCTGAAAATGAACTGCTTTTCACTTTCAAAGGGAAAGTCTGGGGAGTTCCTGCTTTGGGAATTTGTGAACCTTGAAGGGAAAAAAAAAGTCCAGGACGGGCAGCCCCGAGCCCGTGCGCACAGCCTGCCTGGCCGCTCCACGCGCCCACGCCCATGCCAGGCTCTGCGCATGCTCAGCTGCCCGGGCCGGGGAGAGGGGCCCTCCTACGAGCTCCAGCTTGAGCTGCCCCCCTTTCCCCACAGCAGGGGCCCACCAGGCCTGGCCTGGAGGCCGAGCAGCAGCCTTCTGCTCCTTCTGGTGCAAAGGCTGCTGGGTGGCCATGGCATGGACACAAGGCGCCTCAGGAAGCTTCCACCGAGGCTGCTTTCTCTAACGGCTGTGGAATGGACCAATCAAGGCCTTGCTCACCGGTACAGCTTCTCCGACGGGGTGCCGGCTGCTCTGGGCTGCTCTCCGGGGCCCTGGGGACCAGGGCTACTCGCGTCTGCTGGGGACAGAGGGACGCTGCTGTGAGGGCCTCCCAAGGCCCCGCGCAAGCCAGGCAAGTGCTCGCACCACCTCGAACTCATGATCTTCCTCCACCTCACCTCCCAAGTACACAGCACCAGCGCTGTGTCTCACCACAGATGCCTGCCATCAGTTTTTGTTTAGGTTGGTGTTAAGGCTTGAACACGGGCCTGGCGCTGTCCCCGAGCTCTTTTGCACAAAGCTAGAGTTCCACCACTTTGATCCACAGCTCTGCTTCTGGCTTTCTGGTGGTTCATGGAGATTAAGAGTCTCACCAGGACTTTTCTGCCCTGGCTGGCTTCAAACCATGATCCTCCGACCTCAGCCTCCAGCGCAGCTAATATTCCAGCTCTGGCTGCTTGCCACCATTTTTCTTTTCTTTGTCTCTTTGCAGCACTGGGATTTGGACTGAGAGCCTCATGCTTCCTAAGCAGACACTCTACCACTTAACCCAAACCCCTAGTCTTTCCTTTCCTCATATGCTTTATTTTTCAGAGCGCTTGTATTTGTCCCTGGCACCAGCTTTGGATCACAATCCTCCAACTTGTGGCTTCTCACCTATGTGGGATTACAGTATGAGTCGCCATACCAGGCCTGTCGGGTGAGATGGCGGTCTTACCCAAGTAGCTGGGATTAGAGGTATACGCCACTGTGCCAGGCCCTCAGATCTTTGTTCTCGTGCTTAGTCCCTAAACAATGCAGCCTAACAAGAAGTGCTTTCATGGTAACTATTGGCTGCCGTGGCACAGGGGAGGAGGGTTGGGGGGGTGAAGTCTGTGGGGGGGGGAACTCCTCACAAAGATGACATGTGACCAAAGGGACGAAGCACTTACAGACTCTGCTCTCTGTGGAGGTCCTTACTGAAGGACCACTGTGGCTACGTCTGAGGGAATGGAAAGTTCTGGAGCCAGCTGGCAGCAGAAGCTGGAGAATGTGTGCATGCTGGGTGCTGGGTTACCGTGGATGGGGGGCATGGTGCTGGGATGGGGCGCCCCTACCTGCTGCGCTCTGGGCCCTCTCTGCGCGCAGGCGCCCTGCCTCCCGCAGCACCGCCATGGCTCGGATGGCGGCCCGCAGCACGGCCCAGCGGAACACGGCCACGGGGTCCATGCCGATGAGCTCACGCACGTAGGAGCTGTCGCTGCCTCGCAGCAGAGCCACGATGTCCGGTCTCATGTAGTCCATGTTCTTCTCCCGGAAGTCCTGGGGGGAGGGGGGGAGGGCCGCGGCATCACCCCAGGGGTCAAAGGGCTGGGGCGGGCGGGACAGGGCCATCCCGAGAGCTAGGGACTGGTCGTGCACCCCAAAAACCTATCCCACAGCCTCGCTTGCACGGAGACTTCAATCCAAGGGCGTGGCAGCCTGGTGCGCTGCCCCCCCCCCCCCCCCCCGCCGGGTGCGGGCGGGCCGCACCTTGATCTGGTACTTGACTTTGCCTGCGAAGTGCTGGATGATGAAGGCGGGCTGCAGCACCGGGGTGCCCAGGAAGTACTTGTTGTCCTCGTGCTGCTGCTTGAACTTGGCCAGCAGCGTCTGGCTGGTGGCGTGGGGGAAGCTGGGGAGAGATCACGGCTTCAGGGCGGAATGGTGGCGGGTGGCAGGTGGGCCTCTCTCTCTGCAGGGCGGGGGGGGGGGCAGCAAAGGCCAGCGCTGTGTGCGGCCAGCCGCATGCCCCGCCCACCCCCCACCTGGCTGCTCACCGCCCGGGCTTGGGGACATCTGTGAACATCTGTGCCAGCCGAGCCCTGGACACAGGCCCACCGCAGGCAGCCTTCAAAACCACCTCAGGCTGGAGAGGCTGCGGGTTTTGGATCATCTACACCTTCAGGCCAGGCTGGAGGGAGGGGGCACCCCCTGTGCCCTGGATGGAGAGAGGGGGCCGAGGGCGGACCCGTGCTCCCCGTGCCTGGCTGTCTGGCAGGAGCTGCCCTCGGCCTGGCGCACTCCGCCTGGGCCTGGCCTCACCGTGCGCACAGCGGTGCCAGGCGCGGGCAGATGCCCGGGGCTGGGGCTCAGCACTGCAGGAAGTGGGGGATGTGGAGCTGGGGACACAACTCAGCTGCGAAGAGCTACACCATGGTAGCGGACCGTTTTTAGAAAGGTCAGAGTGCAGGGACTAAAACCTCCAGAGAAAGGCTGGGAAGGTGGCTCAGTGGTAGAGCGCTTGTCTTGCATGCATGAGGCCCTGGGTTTGATTCCTCAGCACCACATAAGCAAAAAGAAAAAAGCCAGAAGTGGTACTGTGGCTCAAGTGGTAGAGCGCTAGCCTCAAGCTGAAGAGCTGAGGGACAGCGCCCAGGCCCAGAGTTCAGGCCCACAACTGGACCCAAAAAATAAAAAATAATAAAACCTTCAGAGAACAGAAGAAGACGCAGCTCACGCCTGCCATCCTAGCTACTCAGAAGGCTGAGATCTGAGGATCGTGGTTCAAAACCAGACCAGGCAGGAGAGTCTGTGAGACTCTGATCTCCAATAAACCACCAAAAAACCGGCGCTCACTTTGAGCAAAAGCTCAGAGACTGCGCCTAGGCCTTGAGCTAAAGAGCCGAGGAACAGCGCCCAGGTCCAGAGTTCAAGCCCCATGACTGACAAAAAAAAAAAAAAAAAAAAGAACAGAAGAGGCCAAGACTGGACCAAGGCTGATCAGCCAGGCCCTGCCTCACGAGCCCTGGAAATTCCTACCTCACCCTGTCTGTCTGTCTGTGCTGTGCCAGGCAGGTACTCAGCCAGGACTGGTGAGCGCCCATCTCAGGGCCGCTCGGCCTACCTCTGTGTATGCATTCCACCCGAGCTGGCCGCAGAGTAAAGCGACGCGTCCAACCCATCCTGAGCGGGGATTTGGTCTGAGGCACTGGGGTGCCTCACCTGAGACCCCACCAGCCCCGTGGGGTGTTGTGAGGTGTGACCATGTCTGCAGAGGGGACTTTCCATGGGAGCAGGGCCCTGGAACGCTCGGCAGGTAAGCAGGCATCACAGTGGATGCTGTACAATGTGTCTGATGTCCGTTGAGGAAGAGGAAGAGGAGGGAGGACAGGGAGACAGAGGCACGGGCAGGAAGAGGCAGCTGCAGGCCACAGAGCCCTGGAGGCTGGAAGAGCTAGGAACTGTCCTGTCCTAGGAGCTCTGCAGAGAACAAGGCCGGCATGCAAAGGCCTGTTCCCCGCCCTGTGGGGCTACTGGAAGGTGGTGGAGCCTTTAAGAGGCGGAGCCTGAGGAGGAGTTAGGTCACGGGGGCGTGGTTGAGGGGCATGGGGGGGCTCTGAGGCACTGTGAGGCGGGGCAGCTTTCTCGGCGGAGTGCTCCCGCCACAGTGCTCTGCCTCACCACAGGCCAAGCCCCCAGGGAGCAAGAAACGGGAGGAAAATGGAGTGAGAAAGGGCTGGGGCCGCCGGCTCGGCTGCGCCCTGACCTGGCTGCAGCACCGGGCTTGCCCCGGGAAAGCAGTGGGGTGGGGTCCCCCGATCTTAGCCGCCCTTCCAGCCTTGCCCAGGCCCAGACCTGTGTGCTAGCGTCTGCAGCAGCAAGCTGCACTTTACACACACGAGGCTCAGGGCTGGGGCTGAGAACATGTGAGACACCAGTGCGTGTGCGTGCGTATGCGTGTGTGTGCGTGAGTGTGTGCGCGTGTGAGTGCGTGTGTGCTGCGCGTGTGTGCGTGTGCGTGTGTGCACATGTGTGTGCGCGTGAGTGCGTGCGTGTGTGCGAGTGTGTGCGTGCGTGCGCGAGTGTCAGTGCGTGTGCGTGTGAGTGCATGTGTGCTCGCGCGTGTGTGTGCGTGCGTGCGAGTGTCCGTGTGTGCGTGTGCGCGTGTGTGCGCGCGTGCATGTGTGTGCATGTGTGTGTGCGTGTGTGCATGTGTGTGCGTGTGAGTGCGTGTGCGTGCGTGTGCGCGCGTGTGCATGTGTGCGTGTGTGTGCGCGTGCGTGCGTGTGCGTGAGTGCATGTGTGTGTGCGTGTGTGTGCGTGTGTGTGCGTGCGTACATGTGTGTGCGCGTGAGTGCGTGCGCGTGAGTGCGTGTGCGTGAGAGTGCGTGTGCATGTGCGTGCGTGAGTGCGTGTGCGTGCGTGTGCGTGCGAGTGTCCGTGTGTGTGTGCGTGCGAGTGTCCGTGTGTGCATGTGTGTGCACGCGTGCATGTGTGCGTGTGCATGTGTGCGTGTGAGTGCGTGTGCGCGTGTGTGTGCGCGTGCGTGCGTGCATGCGTGTGCGTGAGTGCATGTGTGTGTGCGTGTGAGTGTGTGCGTGCGTGCGTGCGTGCGTGTGCGTGTGTGTGTGCGCGTGTGCGTGTGCGCGAATGTGTGTGCGTGTGTGCGTGCGAGTGTCCGTGCGTGCGTGTGTGCTCGCGCGTGTGTGCGTGTGTGCGTGCGAGTGTCCGTGAGTGCGTGTGCGTGCATGTGTATGCGTGTGTGTGCGCGCGTGCATGTGTGTGCGTGTGTGTGCGCGCGTGTATGTGTGTGCGTGTGTGCGCGTGTGCACGCGTGCGTGCGCGTGTGTGCATGCGCGTGTGGTCACGCACGTGTTGGGCGCAGGGTCCCGGTGCCACGCTGGCGGCCACTCACCTGCTCTCCTCGTCCAGCAGGTGGAAGAGGCCGGTGGGCTTCTTGCTGATGAGGTGGATGCAGCCCACGTTGTCGGTGTAGTCGATCTTGTGCCAGGCGATGCCCTCGCTCTGGTACTCTTCCTGTGGGGGGAGGGGAGGGCGCAGCACCCCTCAGACTGGGTGTGTGAGTGCGTGAGCAGGTGTGTGCACGTGCACTAGTCCTGTGGCTTGAACTCAGGGCCTCACACATCTGCTGGGCTCTCCTGCTCAGGGCTAGCACTCTACCGCTCGAGCCACTCCTGCAGTCCCGCTCGGATATGGCGTTTGAACACTTGAGGTGCTGGGGATGAGGCCCCAGGGCTCCGTGTGTTGCGAGTCTGTGCGTTGGTGTCTAGCCCTTTAAAAGGCAGGGCCTGGCGCCTGGTGGCTGAGGGCAGCGTGAGGTCCTCCCTGGCCTCCACTCCGGGTGGCAGGAGGCCTCAGGGGTCAGCAGCGGTCAGCCGCCACCCGCGTGTGACACCAGCCTGGGAGCCTGGGAGCCGCAGAGCTAACGTCCTCACGAGGCAGCCGCCTCCAGCCTCGTTACAGCCACAGAGAGCCAACGGCTGACCCGGTGCTACGTGAGCACGCCCACATCAGCATGTGAGCAAGACGGGCACGGCGTGGATCCGGAGCGGCCCACGGCCACCTCAGCCTGGCTGTCCGTCCTGTCCCCCTCCCGCCCGAGGCTCAGCGCGCAGCAGCATGCTCCCTGCCCAGCAAGCCACAGCTTCCCAGAGAATGAAACCCTGCACGCACGCACGCACGCATGCACGCACGCACACCAGGAGCAAGCCAGAAGAACCAAGCACACCCACATCACCACTCACCCAGTCACGACACCCAGGAGGGCACACGGGGAGCAGCAGACAAACACAAGGGAAAACGACTGCCCTGGAAAATCCTGTATGACGCCACTAATACACCCTGTGACCACAGCTGGGGGCGGGGAACACACCGAGGTGCCCAGACTCGGGTCCCAGGGGACACGGAGGGCTGGGAGCGCGCGTAACGCCCTCCACCGCGCACCTGGTGGACACGGGGGTGGGGACGCCGTCTCATGAGCACTTTGCCCGGGATGGCCTTGAGTCCCAATCCTCCTGACCTCTGCCTCCCCAGCACACAGGTACAGGCACTGGAGCAGGCGAAGCCCGGAGATCTTCCCTGCATCTCATTGCAGTCCGTACCGGCGCCTTACCTGCTCCAGCTTGAAAATGTGCTGATTGAAGTAATACTGCAGCTGCTCGTTGGCATAGTTGATGCAGAACTGCTCGAAGCTGTTCCGCTCGAAGTCTTCAAAGCCAAAAATGTCCAGGACCCCGATGGACAAGCACTGGGGAGATGAGGGGCCGGCGTTCAGTGGGGCCTTCCCGGGGGAGCATGCAGGGACTGCTGCTACCAGCTTAGCCTTCACCTTGGAAGCAGCTCCTCCGTGTGTGTGTGTGCGCGCGTCCAGAACCCAGGGCCTCACCATGCTAGACCAAGTGCTCTACCTCAGAGCCACACTCCCACTGCCACTCCTGCATACAGCCATGCCTCCTGCCCCTGAATTCTGCGGTGTGCTCCGCCCGCCTGCCCACCCACCCGCCCACCTGTCTGCCTGCCCACCGGCCCACCCGCGTGAGAAGCCAGGGTCTTGGCAGCCTCTGGCGGCGGATGCAGCCCTCCCTGGCTGGCGCGGGCTCGGGCAGGCTTGCTCACCGAGACGGCCTCCTCCATGTCCTTCTTGTTGAGGAGGGCGTGGTTGATGCGCAGCACGATCCAGTCAAACAGGGCGCTGTACAGGGACTTGGCCATGGAGTCCCGGGCGGTGATGGCCTAGGAACACAGGGGTGGGTTTCTGTGTGCGCACGGGTCCTGGGTCTTGAACTCAGGGCCCGGGCACCGTTCCTAAGCTCTTTCACTCAAGGCTACAGCTCAAGCCACAGCTGCACTACCCTATCGGCTTTTTGTGGTTAACTGGAGATTCAAGAGTCTCAGGGACTTTCCCCGCCGGGGCGGGCTTTGAACCGCAACCCTCAGCTCTCGCCTTCCACAGGAGGACTGCAGGCGCGGAAGCCTGCTGCTGTGGTTTTTCTTTTCTTCTCTTCTTTTTGAGACAGTCTTTGCTAACTTGTGTGTGGGCTGTCCTTGAACTCAAGACTCCTGTCTCCACCTCTCGAGTAACTCAGCTGGGACTACAGGCGTGTGCTTACACACTGGGCCCTACAGGCCCGCCGCTGTGCGGTCACGGGCCGCGGGCCGCTGCACTCAATGGCAGCTTGCACACACACACTGGGTCCCACGACGTAAGAGAGCCCCAAGTTTTCCCATCTGCAGGCGCTCTGCATTTCTGCGCGTGGCTAGGATTGCGCCCGAGCCTGTGCAGGGCAGACTGTGTCTCACACTGTGTGCTGTGAGGCCTGTGCGGTGGCTCCTGGGACGGGGGCCGGCCGCTCTGTGCTGCGTGCGTTTGGAGCTTAGGAACGCGGCCGGCGGCTCGCGGAGCCAGGCGCGCAGCATGCTGCACTTCTGGTGGCATGAGGACCCCCACGATGACAGCGCAGCGAGGAGACGGCACAGCCCCGGCGGCCGGCACCGCGGGTCTGCGCCGCTGTCCGGGCGGTGCCGCTAACTGCGGGCCGCTGCCCCGGTTCTGGCTTTTCTGGATCCCGTGGGAAGCAGCTGCCCCCCGCATCTCTCTCATGGTGGTGCTGAGGGGACCCGGGACTGCCAGGGTGCCCACGGCACTGTGGGAAAGGCCCAATAGCTGCTCTGGGGTGAGGGGCCCCATGCCCTGGCGGCCGCGTGACCAGGGACTTTCCTGTGACCGGCGGTGCTGCAAGTCACGCTGCTCTCAAGGGGACCGGCAGAGGTGGTGGGGCCGACTGCCGGGGGGCCGTCAGCTGGCCGCCCTCCAGAGGTCACATCCGGGCCAGCCCGCCAGAAAACATCATTGCTTTTGGTCTTTGGAACCTGAGCTCTGGCGCTGAGGTAGAAGGCAGTGTTTTATAGCTCGTACGTACACAAATGTGTATGGTTGTGTGTCAATAAAACTTTATTAACAGGCCAGTGTCCTCTGTTAAGAACCAGGATTCTAGCGGGGTGCTGGTGGCTCACACCTGTCATCCTAGCTACTCAGGAGGCTGAGATCTGAGGAACGTCATTCAAAGCCAGGCTGGGCAGGAAAGTCCCCATGAGACTCTTATCTCCAAAGAACCACCAGAAAACCAGAAGTGGCGCTGTGGTTCAAGTGGTAGAGCGCTTGCCTTGAGCTGAAGAGCTGAGGGGCAGTGCCCGGGCCCAGAGTTCAGGCCCCACAACCACCACCAACAAATAAGAACCAGGGTTCCCACGAGCATATCGGGACCCAGAGCGAAACGTCCCGGCGCCAGCTCAGCCTGAGGACTACAGCGGGCCTTCCGTAACACACGGCTGCCCCCCATGCCTGCTGGCCGCAGCCCGCCGCGCTCAATCAAGACCGCATCCCGTGACCTGGGGGCACCAGGGGGCGCTGGGGGGCTGCCGGCTCAGGATGAGGGGCATGCCCACCCACACTGGGCTCTGTTCGTGAGTGGGGATTCCCCGCCCCCCACAGCACCGCGCGCTCACCTCTGCTTGTGAGTGGGGACCCCCCTCCCCGTGCGTTCACCTCTGCTCGTGAGTGGGGACCCCCCACCCCGCGCTCACCTCTGCTGGTGAGTGGGGATCCCCCACCCCCCTGCACGCTCACCTCTGCTCGTGAGTGGGCCCCCCCCGTGCGCTCACCTCTGCTCGTGAGTGGGGACCCCCCCCCGTGCACGCTCACCTCTGCTCGTGAGTGGGGATCCCCCGCCCCCCTGCACGCTCACCTCTGCTCGTGAGTGGGGATCACCCACCCCCCCGCGCGCTCACCTCTGCTCGTGAGTGGGGATCACCCACCCCCCCGTGCGCTCACCTCTACTCGTGAGTGGGGACCCCCCCCGTGCGCTCACCTCTACTCGTGAGTGGGGATCACCCACCCCCCGCGCGCTCACCTCTGCTCGTGAGTGGGGACCCCCCCCGTGCGCTCACCTCTGCTCGTGAGTGGGGACCCCCCCCCCGTGCGCTCACCTCTGCTCGTGAGTGGGGACCCCCCCCGTGCGCTCACCTCTACTCGTGAGTGGGGACCCCCCCCGTGCGCTCACCTCTGCTCGTGAGTGGGGACCCCCCCCGTGCGCTCACCTCTACTCGTGAGTGGGGATCACCCCCCCGTGCGCTCACCTCTGCTCGTGAGTGGGGATCACCCCCCCGCGCGCTCACCTCTGCTCGTGAGTGGGCCCCCCCCACGCGTTCACCTCTGCTCGTGAGTGGGGACCCCCCCCCGGCGCCATGTGCTCACCTCTGCTCATGAGTGGGGACCCCCCCCCACGCGCTCACCTCTGCTCGTGAGTGGGAACCCCCCCCCCCCGGTGCCGCGCGCTCACCTCTGCTCGTGAGTGGGGATCCCCCCCCCGCGCGCTCACCTCTGCTGGTGAGTGGGGACCTCCCCCGGCGCCATGCGCTCACCTCTGCTCATGAGTGGGGACCCCCCCCCGCGCGCTCACCTCTGCTCGTGAGTGGGGACCCCCCCCCCGCGCGCTCACCTCTGCTCGTGAGTGGGGACCCCCCCACGCGTTCACCTCTGCTCGTGAGTGGGAACCCCCCCCCCCCCCCCCCCCCCGGTGCCGCGCGCTCACCTCGCCGAGGCTGTAGGGCAGGATGAGCTTGTCGTTGACCGTCACCGCTTTTCTTTTGGTCAGCACCTCCACCAGGATTTCTCGTTTCACCTGTTTCAAGGTCAAGGAGAAGGTGAAGGAGATGAAGAGCTTGCAGGAGCTGCAGCCTCGAGTGGGGAAGCCCAGGACCCCTGTTCCCCCCCCCTCCCGCCCCCCAGGCCGTGCCCAGGGCTTGCCCAGGCCCGGCTGGTCCACGCAGCTCCTGTGCCAGGGCAGCCACCAGACTCCCACAGCCTGGCCCTTCTGTGTGCCAGCCTCTGCCCAGACAGCAGAAGCGGGCAGCAGGGCCCCTCCCCACAGCGGTGCTCCTGTACCCCTGGGAAAAAAGCTGAGCCCCTCTTGTGAGAAAACCCAGAGGAGAACAGACTTGGGGCGCGGGAGGCGGCTGGAGGTGCAGCTCCTGGGGGGCTTGGCCCTGCAGGGCTGGCTGCTCCCCAACAGGCCACCAAAAGAACCAGACGTCTGTCGCCCGGCGTCTGCTGAGGGTGTCTCCCTGCTGAGCACCACCAAACATGGACAAAAAGTCCATGCAACTACGCTGCCATTTTTTTTGGTCGGTCGTGGGGCTTGAACTCTGGGCCTGGGCGCTGTCCCTCAGCTCTTCAGCTCAAGGCGAGTGCTCTACCACTTGAGCCGCAGAGCCACTTCCAGTTTTCTGCTGGTTCACTGGAGATCAGAGTCTCATGGACTTTCCTGCCTAGGCTGGCTTTGAACTGTGATCCTCAGATCTCGGCCTCCTGAGTAGCCGGGATGACAGGTGTGAGCCACCCAGCCCAGCTTGCTGCCCTGTTTCATGGTTTTGTTTTTATGCGGTACTAAGGTTTGAACTCTCAGTTCCATGCTTACTACGCAGGCGCTCTACCTCTTCAGCTACACCGAAGCCCTGTTTTTTGTTTTGTTTCTTAAACACTTTTGCTGGTACGTGATGTGATTCAGGCTGGACTTGAATTCTGAGCTCATGCCATCCTCCTAAGTGGCTGGAACTCCAGGCGTGCACTACCATGCCTGGCCCAGCTACGGTTTCAAAGCCGCTTTCACTTGAAGGTCTGAGGCAGGTGGTGGCCCTGCCCGGAGGCTTCCTGGGGGGGCAGTGGACCCCCTCCGCGGGTGGACGCACTGAGGAGGCGGGCGGTCACTGCCTGCGTGGGCCCGGCTGCCCTGCGGCGGCTGAGGGAGAGGGGAGGGCAGAATCACCTTCAGAAGCTGGGACAGCGTGTCCAGCACCTCAGGGGGCCCCACCTCCAGGCCTTCGTCTCGGCCCGTGGCTCTCTTCTTGTAGGTGACATTCCCCAGGTACAGGATGGCCGAGAGCACGGCGAAGATCCTGGAGGGACACAGAGCGTGTGCGTTCCCAGAAGGACGGACTCCCGGGAAGCTGGGCGGAGGCCGGGTGCGCAGGGAAGGCCGGACCCGACTCAGCGTTCTGTGGACCATGTCCACTGGGGGATGGGACTTAAAAAAAAAAAAAGCTGGGAGGGTGGCTCAGTGGGAGGGTGGCTCAGTGGGAGGGTGGCTCAGTGGGAGGGGGCTCAGTGGTAGAGGGCTTGTCTCACATGCATGAGGCCCTGGGTTCGATTCCTCAGCACCACATACACAGAAAATGCCAGAAATGGCGCTGTGGCTCAAGTGGTAGAATGCTAGCCTTGAGCAAAAGCAGCTCAGAGACAGCGCCCAGGTCCCGAGTTCAAGCCCCAGCACTGGCAAACAAGCAAACCTAGTTTCTACTTTTTAATTTTTGCAGTACTGGGGTTTGAACTCAGGGCCCTGCCCCTGGTAGGTGGCCGTTCAGCCACTTGAGCCCCCTCCAGCCCTTTTTAAATTTTACTTTTCAGATAAGGTCTTGCTTTTCTTTTTTGGCCTGGGTTGAGGGTCAGATCATTATCTTGTGCAGCTGGGATCACAGAGGGAACCCCCCATGCCCAGCTTATGGGTTGAGATGAGAGTCTCAACATGTTTGCCTGGAGCTAGACTTGAATGGTGAGCCTCCCAGTCATCTCTGCTGGGATTACGGGAGTGAGTCACTGTGCAGGGCCTGTACTCTTTGCCTTGAGATAAGTGACCAAACTCACAATCCTCCCCTGTCCTGGGCTAACAGGCGTGTGCCGCCGTGCCCAGCTTCGTGTTGGTTTTGGCTGGTCTGCGCATGCACTCTGGCGCCTGGCTGTCCTGGGAAGGCCCCTATCGGCCTTCTGGGCTGGGATGGGGCTCTGGGAGAGGGGGGTGGCGTATCGGGCCAGGGCTGCCCCCTGCAGGCCGCTTGCTTACTGCTTCTTGGTGGCGGGGAGGAAGCCCACCATCTCCATGGCCTGCTTGAGTCTTTCGAAGTCATGCTTCAGGTCTTCTCCGTCCTCGATCTTCAAGTTATGCTGGAAAAAAAAAAACTGGAAGCATCCCGTTCAGGGCGGGGAGGGGGGGGCAGTGGGGGGGGCGGGGCGGGGCAGGGCGGGCGGGAGCTGGGGCTCGGGCTCCAGCCCAGGGCCAGGGGCCAGGTCCGGGGACACAGGAATGAATGGGCTCCTTTGTGCCGCCCCCTAGGAGCCATGTTGGGCCGGCCTCCGACCTCCGGCCGAACAGAGGTGGCGTCTGTGGCGGGCGCTGGCAGCCGTGTACCTGGTTGAGGTAGAAATAATCTTCAGGCTGTTTGAGCTGAAATTCCTGGCGCTCTTCCTCGCTGACTCCCAGTAACAAATAATAGAACACGTGGTAGTTCCTGCGTCCGGAGAGGAAGAGAAGAAAATGTCACTTGGGGAGGGAACGCAGAGCGGCTCTCCGGCCATCCCAGAGCATGCATTTGCAGAGCGCTGCCCGGGGCCCAGGACATTTGCTTTTCCCCTTTGGCCTGCACAAAGACAGAGCTGGGGCTGAGTCCCAAGACAGCCCGGGAATGAACAGCCTACCTCTCATCCTTCTCCTGAGAGACCAGGCGGGACTTTTCAAGCAGGTATTTCTCCACCACGGCCCTGTCATCACGAGGAGAAGGGAGGAACGGTGCGTGTGAATACTGTCTGCACACTGTTTCCACACCTCCGCCCTCCCTCCTGAGTGCGGTGATGGAACCCAGAGCTGCGCACAACCGGGAAGCCACAGTTCTGGAATGTTCCATGACCACATGGGTACTGTCCACCTGGCCACAGGCCTCCTGTGAGGCCTGTCCCTCGGTCAGGCCCGATCCGGTGTGGGGAACTGTCATCAGCATCTTTATTTCCCTACATCGAAGTGGTCGCTTAAACTAGAATTGCTCAAGAAAGGCAGACCACAGCCGGCCGTGGCCGGGGCGGCGACCTTCCATTTTTCCTTCCTCACCTTCGTTAGTTACCTGTGGGTCACCCAGGTCTGCCAGCAAAAATGGAAAATTCCAGAAATAAGAGTCCTAAGTTGTGTACTGCACAGCACCGATGGAGGCCTGTCCGCGTGTCCCTGCCCCCGCCGCTCGTGGCGTGGCGTGGTTGTGAGATCAGCCCACGCCGCACCGGCCCAGCCGTGGCCTTTGTTTTTTATCAGCGCTCCCGTCTCCTCGGTGACTGCAACCCCAGCGACCTGACCGTCCAGCACCACTCAACGCAAAGCTGCACACGCTTCCTTCCTAAGAGCCTGGTCAGGGTCTGGAGGCTCGGCTCAGCGGTAGAGCACCTGCCTAGCGAGTGCAGGACCCCGAGTTTTTGTTTTTTTTTTTTAATTTTTTTTTGGGTCCGGTCATGGGGCCTGAACTCTGGGCCTGGGCGCTGTCCCTCAGCTCTTCAGCTCAAGGCTAGCACTCTACCACTTGAGCCACAGCGCCACTTCCGGCTTTTTTCTTTTTGCTTATGTGGTGCTGAGGAATCGAACCCAGGGCCTCGTGCATGCAAGGCAAACGCTCTACCACTGAGCCACCTTCTCAGCCCCTAGGACCCCGAGTTTTAAACCTCAATACTGCCGAAACCCAAAAGCAAATGCCCCCCAAACTCGGTCCACAGTTGTCACTCTGGAGGTGGTGGGCCTTGTGAGAGGTCCTCAGGCCACTGTGGGGAGAGCCTTGTGGAAGGTCCTCAGACTACTGGGGGCGGGGCCTCATGGGGGTCCTCAGGCTGCTGGGGGCGGGGCCTCATGGGAGGTCCTCAGGCTGCTGGGGGCGGGGCCTCATGGGAGGTCCTCAGGCTGCTGGGGGCGGGGCCTCATGGGGGCCCTCAGGCTGCTGGGGGCGGGGCCTCATGGGAGGTCCTCAGGCTGCTGGGGGCGGGGCCTCATGGGGGCCCTCAGGCTGCTGGGGGCGGGGCCTCATGGGAGGTCCTCAGGCTGCTGGGGGCGGGGCCTCATGGGGGCCCTCAGGCTGCTGGGGGCGGGGCCTCATGGGAGGTCCTCAGGCTGCTGGGGGTGGGGCCTCATGGGGGCCTTCAGGCTGCTGGGGGCGGGGCCTCATGGGAGGTCCTCAGGCTGCTGGGGGCGGGGCCTCATGGGGGCCCTCAGGCTGCTGGGGGCGGGGCCTCGGAAGAAAGGAACTTCCCTTGGGGTCTGCTCGTGATGGAGGTGGTCTTTGCTCTGCCACGTACTCCTGCCATGACGGACTGCCCCTCCAGCCCAAGATTCCAGGCCTGTTCATCACACCCTGAACCTGATCTACCTCTCTCCAGGACTCCATGACGGGGGGGGGGGGGGGGGGGGGGGGGGGGGGGGGGGGGGAGGGGCTGACAGCTGACAGGGAACAGTAAGAATGGACAGGCAAACCACAGCGCACGTCTGTTCTGCAGGGTCTGTGGTCTCTGCCATTGCCTGAGTGGCAGAAAGTCTCTTATGCAGATTGGGGTAGGGGTGCTGTTTGGAAAAGGGGGGTCCTTGTAGATGTAGTGCACGGCTGAAAGATCGTTCTCAATGAGCTGGGTGGGCCTGAAGCCATCCACCACCGCATCCTGAGAAACTAGCAGTGGTGGCCCGGCACCGGTGGCTCCCACCTGTCATCCTAGCTACTCAGGAGGCTGAGATCTGAGGATCACGGTCCAAAGCCAACCCGGGCAAGAAAGACTGTGAGACTCTTATCTCCAATAAACCACTAGAAAACTGGAAGTGACGCTGTGGCTCAAGGGGTAGAGCGCTCACCTTGAGCTGAAGAGCTGAGAGACAGAGCCCAAGCCCAGAGTTCAAGCCCCACAACCCCCCCCCCAAAAAAAGAAACTAGCAGCGGAAGAGGCAGACGGGGGGGGGGGGGGGGGGGCTGAGGGGGAGGGGAAGGGAGGACTCAAGCAGAGACTGGAGGACGGGCCACAAGCCAAGGGAGGCCTGGGCCATCAGAGGAGGGAGGGCGGGTGGCAGGAGGGAGGCCTGGGGCCATCAGAGGCGGGAAGGCGGGTGGCAGGAGGGAGGGAAGGTGGCAGGAGGGAGGCCTGGGGCCATCAGAGACGGGAAGGCAGGTGGCAGGAGGGAGGCCTGGGGCCATCAGAGGAGGGAGAGCGGGTGGCAGGAGGGAGGCCTGGGGCCATCAGAGACGGGAAGGCAGGTGGCAGGAGGGAGGCCTGGAGCCATCAGAGGAGGGAGGGCGGGTGGCAGGAGGGAGGCCTGGGGCCATCAGAGGCGGGAAGGTGGGTGGCAGGAGGGAGGGCGGGTGGCAGGAGGGAGGGTAGGTGGCAAGAGGGAGGCCTGGGGCCATCAGAGGCAGGAAGGCAGGTGGGAGGAGGGAGGGCGGGTGGCAGGAGGGAGCGCAGCTCTATCAGCCCCTGGACAGCACGCTCTAGCCCTCTGGCGCCTCCAGGAAACCTGCTCCTGGTTCTTGTGTCTTCTTTTTTGGGGTGCTGAGGCTAGGACTCAGGGCTGGGCGGGTGCTCTACCCCAGGACTCAAACCAGCCCCAACGCCTGTGTTCCGTCCCCCGATGGCAGCACTGTAGCCGGCGTTGGGGCCCGGGGCGGAGGGCGCGGGCCGGGCCTCGGCTAGAGAAGCAGTGTCCGAGCTGCCCGCGGCCCACGAGCCGCCGGGCGAGAGAATAAGCACGACACTCCATTGTCTTCTTTTGTGTCAGGCCTAGGGCTTGAACTCCCAGCTCCAGGCTGGGGTGCTGCCACGGCAGCCACACCTCCACTTCCAGAGTTTGGGTGTTCACTGCAGATGAGCATCTCACCCATTTCTCTGCCTGGGCTGGCTTTGAACCACGATCCTCAGAGCTCAGCCTCCCGAGGAACTGGGACAGGCGTGGGTCCCGTGCCCACGGCTGCCGTCCCCGCCCCACAGCAGGGCAAAGCTGGGGGGGGGAGTCCTGGCTCGGGCGCGCCTGAGCCGCTGAGAAGCCACACCCTTCAGAAACACCTAGTGAAAAACAGGGCTGGAGGCGTGGCCCAGCGGCATCGCGCCAGCCTAGAGAGAGCAAGGCCCCGAGTCCAAACTCCAGTGTAGCCCAAAACCCACATCAACACAAACCCCCACAAAAAGCCACCTGGCCCGGGTACACGCCATGGCACCAGAACCAGCGCGTGACCATGATCGGGGGCCACGGCGCCCGCCCGGCTCAGGCCTCGACCCGTCAAAGCCCGGGCCTAGCCCCAAGCCTCGGTGCGCCATCACAGCAGTGGGGGGGGGGGGGGGGGAGCCCAGGCTTCCTCCCCAGTGTGTGGCCACGTCCGGGGAGGGGGCGCGCTTACCCTCTCACGATGCCGCTCTCCAGGTAGTTGACCTGGATGAACTTCCCGAACCTGCTGGAGTTGTTGTTGTGGGCTGTCTTGGCATTCCCGAAGGCCTGTGCGGAGAACGGAGGCCGGCAATCAGACCACAGTCCCTGTGGGTCCAGCTTCCCTGTCCCCAGAGCGGCCCAGTCCCCCACGCAGGGGCGGAGACAAGAGTGGGGAGGCAGGGGCTGGGGAGAGGGGGATGCAGGGGCTGGGGGGAGGGGGGAGGCAGGGGCTGGGGGTGGGGGAGGCAGGGGCTGGGGGGAGGGGGAGGCAGGGGCTGGGGGAGGGGGGAGGCAGGGGCTGGGGAGAGGGGGATGCAGGGGCTGGGGGGAGGGGGGAGGCAGGGGCTGGGGGTGGGGGAGGCAGGGGCTGGGGGGAGGGGGAGGCAAGGGCTGGGGGGAGGGGGGAGGCAGGGGCTGGGGGTGGGGGAGGCAGGGGCTGGGGGGAGGGGAGCTCAGTGCGGCTGGGAGAGGCCCCGGTTCTAAAATGGAGAAAAAAACTCCAAAAGCCAGTCACGATTCTGCACCGACAGGGACTCAGCGCAGGGACACACCTGGACACCAATATGGCGGCCACTCAGTCCCTTTTACAGGTGACGGAAACTGAGGTGCTATATGATATAAGCAATCACTAGAAAAAAGAAAAGAACAAAGCCAGCCCGGTGCCAGTGGCGCACGCCTGTCATCCTAGCTGCTCAGGAGGCTGAGATCTGAGGATCGGGGTTCAAAGCCAGCCCAGGCAGGAAAGTGCATGAGACTTATTTTCAATGAACCACCAAAAAACCAGAAGTGGCGCTGTGGCTCAAAGTGGTAGAGCGCTAGCGCGGGGACAACACCCAGGCCCTGAGTTCGAGCCCCATGACCGACAAAAAAAAGATAAAATTGGGAGATGAGGAGCATTAGTGGAGATACATGGTGGGGTTCGATAGTTTGGGGGTGCAGGACAGAAGGGTGAGGTGAACACACTGTACAAGCATGGGGGCACTTCATGCGAAGCCCCGGTAACGAATGTATACTAAGAAACAGAAAGCAACGCTGACCTCCTCTCCCCGCACATCGCCAATCCTTTTATTTTGGCACAGGTCCTGGGGCTGGAACAAGCGCTTGGGCTTTCTTTGGCTCAGCTTTGTTGCTCAAGGCGAGCGCTCTTACCACCGGACCACTGCTCCGCTTCTGCCTTTGTTTTTTAGTGGTTCGGTGGAGGAAAGAGCCTCACAGGCTTTTCCTACCCAGATCGGCCTCAAACTGCAGTCCTCAGATCTTAGCCTCCTGAGCTAGGATTACACAGGTGGGAGGTACCGGTGCCGGGTTCACGGAGCTGCAGATACGCAACCACAGCTATGGAGAGCGACGCAGAATGTTCCGTCCTTCCGCGGACAGGGAGCCTAACCTCTGTGGGAACAGCAGCCAAAGATGGCTTCTACTCGCGAGGGGTGAGGAACTCGGCTTCCTGACGCGAGGCCTGAGCCCCACGCGGGCAGGGCTGGGGGTTGTGACGCCGCCAGGTGGCACAGATGGCGCGAGGGTGCGGGGAGGCGGGGCTGGCGGGGACGCCACAGCGGCGCACACTGCGGGACGGCTGTCCACCCCGCAGGGAGGGTCGGGAGGGTCGGGAGGTCCCCTGGAACCTCCACGTGGGGCGCGGGGGACCGGGCCTGGGGGAGAGCGGGAGTAGAGCTCAGGAAGCTCTCGTAACCAGCTCTGTCTGGCCAGGCCTGGTGGCGGTGCCTGTAATCCCAGACACTGGAGAGGTAGAGATGGGACCATCACGGTCAAAGGCGCGGATAAACCAAAGCAAAAGGGCTGGAGGGGCGGCGCCAGCGGTCGAGCGCCCGTCCTGAGCTCAAGCCCCAACGCCGCGGGAGAAGGAAGGAGAGCAAAGGCAAGGAAGGCTGCGTCCTGTCCCATGGGGGGGGGGGGGCCTTCAGCCTGGGAAGTCGCAGCCTCCCCAGGCTCCGCTCACCCCAGGGCCGCGGAAGTGAAGCAGGAAGTTACCTGACACGGCCTGGGGCGGGGCAGCCCGGGCGGCTCCACCCCCAGGGGATCAGAGCCTGCCTGCTGCCCAGGTGGGGACCCCAGACACAGGCCCGGACGCCCCAGAGCGCCCAGCCTCGCAGGCGCTGCCGAGACCCCGCCAGGCGCAGGCCGGGCTGCGCCCGCCCGCCCGCCCGCCCGCCCGCTGACCTCACGCGTCTGGAATGCGTCTCGGCACACTGACACTTCTCCAGGCCCCGCTAAAAATATCCGGTCGGTGCCATTAGACATCCAGGGAGGAAGCGCTGGCCGGGGGCCAGGGCTCTGCTGAGAGGCGCTGCCTGGCCTGGGCAACACCGCCGGGGACACTCAGACCCCAAGTGCACGGGGGGGGGGGGGGGGGGGGGCGCGCAGACCCCGGCTGCAGCAGTGACTGGAGGCAATCTGGCTCAGAGGCTGGGGGGCCATACGCAGAACACCCACCAAGCCAGGGCCAGAAAGGTCTTCATGAAACTCAGGGAACACGGCTCCTTCTTTTCTTACATTAAAAAACAAAACAAAACAAAAAAACCCACGGTGTAGCAGGGCACAGTGGCTCACGCCCATAATCCCAGCTCTATTGTAATCTTGATCCCAGGGGATCAAGATTCAAGGCCAGGTTGTAAGTTGGAGAGACTCCATCTCGAGATTGGCCGGGAACAGAGACACTGCCTGTCACCCCAGTGACCCAGGGAAGCACAGAGAAGCACAGCAGGATCACAGTCTGGCCTGGCCATAGATTAAAAAAAGAGCAGCATGAACAGGGGCCGAGGGCTGGCTCCAACGCGAAGCCCAAGTTCAAAGCTCAGTACTGCTGAAGGTATTGCACAACAAAAGCCTGGCTGCTCGCATCCGCCCCGTGCTTCAGGGGAAAAGTTTAAGCTGAAGGGATCAGAGTTGCCCGGCTCACTTCTGCGTGGATGTCCAAGGGAGTGACATCAGCAGGGGGAAGAGCCACGCGCACCTGACATGACGTCCCAGACGCTGCTCACAACAGTGCACAGGGAGCAAGCGAGGGCCGCCAGCGACCAATGCAGAAAGGTAACGTGGCACACGCTCACAACAGAGCACTCCGCAGCCAAGCCAGGCGCCGGTGGCTCCCGCCTGGCATCCTAGCTACTCAGGAGGCTGAGATGTGAGGATCGCAGTTCAAAGCCAGCCCGGACAGGAAAGTCTGTGAGACTCTGCTCTCCAATGAACCACTCAGAAAATTGGAAATGGCGCTGTGGCTCTAGTGGTAGAGCGCTCGCCTTGAGCTGAAGAGCTGAGGGACAGCGCCCAGGCCCAGAGTTCAAGTCCCATGACTGACGAAAATAAAAATACCACTCAGCCATAAAAAAGAATGAAAGCCTGCCACTCGGGAGGACTTGGATAAAATGCCCTAAGCCAGACACGGAAAGACACACACATACACACACACACACACACACACACACACACACACACGGAAGCAAAACCAGGTGAACTCACCAAAGCTAAGCCTCCAAAGTTGGCTTCCAGGCCAGTGGGGTGCGGGGGAGACGCCGGCCAAAGGGTACGCGTGGTGTACCCAGGGGGCCATGCTCCAGAGACCACTGCCTGGCATCAAGCTGCAGCCTGGCGTCAAGCTGCAAGCCGGGCTGGGCCTTCCCATCTCAGCAGCTGAAGGCCCACACCAACAGCACACTTTGTCTCCCGTCCACGGGTGAGCCACGGACTCTCGGGGAATGGGGGGGGGGGGGGCGCGTGTGCGCGCGTGTGCGTGCGTGCGTGTGTGTGTGTGTCAACCTCCCAGACGGGCCACAGTCTCTTCCGTCGACAACTGTCCTCCCAGACTGACTTGCAGCTGCCTGAGAGGAACATTCTAGAAACTTCTAGTGGCTTCCTCTAGGTCACCTTTTCCGGTGGGGTTGTCCTTTGCTTTTCTGAGCTTCTGACGGAGCTTTCACACTCCCTGGTTGGCTGCCATAGTTTAGAATGTCTTTTTGTTTTGCCCAGGCTGGTCCCTCTCCGCCTTCCAGGTGGCCGGGACGCCGGGAGCGTGTGCCTGGCGCCCGCCGCGGGGTGCGGGCGGCCCCGCGGCTGCGCTGGCCTCTGTGACGTAGACCGTGTGCGGAGACTCGTGTGGGGGCTCCTGAGCCCCCCCCACCCCTCCCTCACACACAGGGGTCGGCCCGGCAGGGACGCAGACTCAGGAAGTGGGGAAAGATGGGTCTCCGTGGGGTCCCGCTCCCCAGGGGGGCAAGGGAGGAGGGCAGCGGAGGTGGGGGGCGGCGTGGCCTGTGGCTGGGGTAAGGCAGTGGAGTCGCTCTGAGCTCCTGGCTCCCGGCTCTGTGGAGGAGGAAGTGGAGGCTCTCTGGGGCCTGGCTCACACCCAGCTTCCGCTGGGCGCTGGGCGCTGGGCTGCTCTCTTCCGGTTGCCCAACAGGCTTGGGGCTCCCCGCTGGCACTGGCCAAAGGGGCCCGACACCGTCTGCAAAGAAGTGTGTCGGGGGCGCGCAGGGCTGCAGGGACGGGGCGCCCCTACCACAGCGATCCCCCCCACACCCCCCCACAACACAGCAACAAGAACTGCTTTAGGACGGGCGCCTCCCTCCTAGTCAAGCCCCCAGGTCCCGCTGCAAACCCCGCAGGGCACAATCTTAACGTGAACACCCCCCAATACAATTACTGGGGCTTTTCTGCCTTTCTGTACCAGTCCTGGGGCTTGAACTCAGGGCCTGGGCACTGTCCCTGAGCTTTGTCACTCCACGCTGGTGCTCTACCACTTGAACCACAACTCTACTTCTGGCTTTTTGCTGGTTCACTGGAGGTGAAAAGTCCCAGGGACTTTCCTGCCAGGGCTGGCTTTGAACCGTGATCCTCAGATCTCAGCCTCCTGCGGAGTGAGCCACTGGTGCCCAGCCAAATTACTGTATTTTGTGTATGAAACTAAGATTTGAACCCAGGGCTTTCCCACGCCGTGCACAGCGTTTCTAGAACTATCCATCCCACGTAACTGAGACTTGCAGCTGTGATCAGCGTCTCCCCATTTCCTGCCCGCTCCGCCCCCCAGCATGGGCTTGACTAATAATTTA